ATGATTTTGAGGAGGTATGGAAGGTCTTTGTAGAATTTGTACTGTTAAAATGGAAAGGGGTCAAACCATCGCAAGAGGTGTTGAAATTTTGGGAGGTTGGATAGTTATAATGGAATGGTCTCAGTGACTGGGTGCATATTTTTATTCTTATTACCTTGTAGTTTATTTTTATATTTATATTTTGTCAGTGGTCTTCGTAAAGATCATATCTGGGAGGAAGGATATAGATCTTTTAAATAAATGAATGGGGCCCTTTGCTTACGCACTTCTGGTAGGCGGTCTGCCCCCTGCAAATCAGTTTGGGGTGGGTCTCATTTTTTTTGCCTTTGCGCCTGAGCCAGAACCGGGGTGGATCAAGTCCTTTCTCCCCTGAATTTGTAAATATTTGCATAGGGAAGATTGCCATGAACATCAGAAAAGGGCTGTTGCACTTGTAATAACAAATACATCCATGCTTGCTTATTTACAGGGCTAGAGAGGGGCAGGGAGGTTTGGCCCTAGGCCACTTTCTGTCCACAAAAATCTGTCCTCATAGCAAGAGGGAAGGAAAGAACAGCCTCTTCCATATAGCTTTTGAACTTGAAAGGCATTAACATTCCTGGCTGTGCATCATTAGGGATTTTTAAAATTATTATTATTATTATTATTATTATTATTATTATTATTATTATTATTATTTACTCATTGAATTTATATACCGCCCTGTACCTGCAGGTCACAGGGCAGTTCACAGAATAAAATCAAAATATAAATCCGCAAAATGCCTGATCAAAATAAAAACAATAAGCCTCAGCCGTGTGATTCCGTTAAACTGTTCTTATCAGAACTTATAATGTTCTTCATTTATGTAAGCTGTAGGTTAAACCACAGAGCCTAGGACTTGCTGATCAGAGGGTCGGCGGTTCGTATCCCTGCGATGGGGTGAGCTCCCGTTGCTCGGTCCCTGCTCCTGCCAACCTAGCAGTTCGAAAGCACGTCAAAGTGCAAGTAGATAAATAGGTACCGCTCCGGCGGGAAGGTAAACGGCGTTTCCGTGCGCTGCTCTGGTTCACCAGAAGCGGCTTAGTCATGCTGGCCACATGACCCGGAAGCTGTACGCCGGCTCCCTTGGCCAATAAAGCGAGATGAGCGCAGCAACCCCAGAGTCGGCCACGACTGGACCTAATGGTCAGGGGTCCCTTTACCTTTAACAGCACCCGTTCTAAGGGATGGCAATAATATTAAAACACAGCAGAGCAGCATTAGACCAATAAAACATTCACGATTTCAGTGACGCCATACCTGAAATGCGTCCATTTCTCTCACCATTCACCAACACCACGTATACAGCGTGTGGTCACAATCCATCCCAACTGAAGCACTTTCAGGTGCAGCTTCTCTGCTGTTGCTTAACTTTGTGTTCGTAGTGCTCCTGGGGGGGGGTCACAATTAAGCAACGCAAGTGAAACGAAAGGAAAAAATGGAAACCATAAGAAACAACACTGGCCATCAGCCGATTAAACATGAGCTGCACGGCAAATCTGGAAGCCTTGGGATAAGGGCCACTTTCAGACATGCTCCCTTTTCTGAGTCATGGTTTGCATTCTGCCCTTGTACTGGGAGGGCATCTGTTCCTGCCCCTCTTCGGAACCTCACCCTTGAAGCAGAGAAGAAAACATGAGTCATTTGTGCTGCTTTTAATGTCCTAAGCAGCACTAAAGCAGGTGGATTCCCTGACAGTAGGGGCCACCCCGGAAAAGGCCCTGCAGTGTATATGAAACAAACCTGTGGCCTTCCTCTTATCTCCCATCAGCTCCCAAGCAGGCTGGGGCTGATGGGAGCTGAACCCCAATACCATCCTGGGGTGGGCACAAGTTCCCCACTGCTGAACTGCCTTGCCACGATCTCTTCCTCCCCCAGAAAAACGTGGTAGTAAAAAGCAAGCGCAGCAAATAGCAGTTGTTTGGGAAGGTGCAATATTAAAAGAGCAACAATTCTGTTTCCGTGCAATTATTAGCAACCCACGTAGCCTGAAAATGGGGGCAGAGGGAATCAGTAACATATACGTTTCTCCTTGGTTATTACAAGGTGGTTTTTCATTTTTCGTTTTTACTGGCTGAATGATGCCAAGTGCATCTCACTTTCCTTAGGCTGCCGCCCTGCACAGTACATATATTTGAAGATCCTCTCTTCTGACACTGCAAAAGCAATAAAGCTGCCAGCTGCAGAGCTGTGTGCATGGAGCCATCTCCGTGGAACTGAATTTATGAGTCATTTCTGTAGCGCTTGCAGCGTTCTTCTGCCGTGCTTTGACCCGCTATTCCCGAAGAGCGCCTTCCTTTTTCTTCTCCCTCCAGTCGGATGGATGCAAAGTGTTTTGCCCCCGAACCATCCGCTAATGAGAAATGGGACGAGGGCTGGCATCCATCTTCTGTGGCATTTCAAGCTAATGGCGCAATTAAAGGCCACTTTCCGCTTACGATAGTATAGTTTGCTAAGAAATGGGTCCCTGGTTCCAAGGGTTTGCAAGCTGAGACTCAGAGCGTGGGAGACGATGGCAAGCTTGGCAGACTTCCGTTTGATGCAACCAGGTGACCCCTGCAATAATAAGATGCTGGACCTGAAGGACCCAGTCGCCTGATCCCCCCCAAATCTCTTTTATTATCTTAATCATCACACAAATAACTTCTGCATGGTGGTTCTCTGATTCTGAAAACAGGCCTCTCTAAATATGGAGATGCTGTGTAAACTTGCAATAGAAAACCATCCATGGTTTTGTTTTCCTGCAGTGATTACTCAGCCGCACAAGTTGTTAAAGTAATCCCCTGGGTATTGGGACAAAATCCAAACTTACTTTGGTGGTTTGAAAAACCCTTTGTAACCCAAACTCGTTTACCCTCCTATAATCTCGTCTAATGGGCTTAACAATAACTAACATTCTGTTCCGTCCCAGTTCTGTAAAGGATATTTACCTAACCTTGGAAATGTTGGCATATCTCAGCAAAGTTCAGCGTTGGGGGGGTTGGAGAGCTGCCAAGACCCATAAGCAGAGAAAATCTAAGATGGCAGCTCATTCCTAAGAGCCAGCTCTTCCAGAACGCTGCAGAATTTGGCTTGGACAGAGGTGCATTTATGCAGCTCCTGTTGGTTTCAGTGGAACTTGCGCAAAACAACTTCCCAGTGGGATCATGCCCAGTGAAAGTGGACAGAGCCATTTGAGTTTTCTGCCTTGGATAGGAAAATGTCTTGCGCTGCCCGCAATTCAGGTGCACCCCAGATGGGGCCAGCGCAAGTGGGCATATCATGTTTGTGAGCTGTGAGCAGCTTTTGTAACTAGTGGACCAGAGAAACTGCTCATCTGGTCTCCATACTCATCCGTCCAGAGCCGCCAAGGTCAGCAAGACCTTGGTTTATCTGCCAGATTGAAAACCAAATGTACAAAGATTAGGGCCGCCAAGGATTAATCTTCTCTAGCTGTCCCATTTCTGAAATATACTCAGAGTCGAGAGTGGATTTCATGCTCTTTATTCAGCTCGTAGTGGTGAGGAAGAATGGAAGTTCCCCCAGTGTGTCTGCCTTATATACATTATTTACACAATGGGCCCCACGTGATTGGTTAATTCTGGGATTCTCCTGCAGGCCAATCAGATTGTGGATTCCCTTCCACCTGGAGCTGGATTGGGTGGCTCCTGTGGACCAATCAGACTGCTGCATTCTGGATCCTGTTGTTCTAGGACCAATCAGACTGCTGCCTTTTGGATCCTATTCAACTCAGTACATAACAGTTTCCTTTCCTTTCAAATACTCTGAAAGCGCAGTGAGGGGGCAGTGTTCGTGCCTTAACCATTGCCTGCATTCTGAAAACCTCTGCCGCTTCCTTTCCCGTACCAACCTCGCGACCTGGCTCTAGTCAACGGCCTCCAGGTCACTGAGGAGAATGCAGAGAGTTTCCTAAAGATGGCAAACCTCCCACCTGGCCACAGGGTGGGGGGGCGGGTTGGTAGCCAAGCAGAAAGGGGGCCAGGTGATCTGTGATGTGTGTTGACTCTGGTCCCCCTGCGCTCCGCACCAAAGGAGAGCATGCTCCTTCTCTCAGAATCCTCAGGGACACAGGAGCAGGGGATTCTGGGAGCCACTCTCATTCAGGCCACGGCAAAATTGGATGCGGCCTGCAACCTTGGCAGGTTCCATCTGAAGTGAGCTGTACCACGGAGTCCCCCTGTGGTGGCAGAGGAGACCATGGCGGGTTGCCTTAGGGCCTCACATGGTGGTTCCAGCACGTAGCTACGCGATGGAGTCGGTTGCCTTTTGAAGCGGGGGCAGCTGCCAACTTTTAAGACAGCTTTTGCAGGGGTTTAGGCAGATGAGGCCACCAGCCATGATGGCTGCGTGCTACTTCCATGGCGCTTCTACGTGATGCTCGCCGTTCTGGTATCGCTGCAGGCAGCAGCAACCTCATAGCATAAGAACCAACCCAGCATCCATCGCGAACGCCATGAAATAATGAATCCGCAGCCACCTTGGGCCATCTCTCGTTGACAAGCCCCCAGGGGATGGAATAATTGCTTGTTTACTTCCATGTGCAGGGTCCATTCTCCGCCCCGCGTTGGGGCAAATATGCATGAGCGGTGAAATGAAACGGCGTCTTCCTAACAAGCAGCCTTGCCTTGCCTGTTGCCTGTCTCTGACTCCGCATGCCTGTCTGATTTGTTGCACCCCTTCTGCTAATCTCCGTCTACTTTGCCACGTCTCCTGGTCTGCATTATCGGGACCGCAGCTGGTCTATCCAGAGAGCTGTGGGGGCTTGTTGGCTTCTTGTTTCGTTTTGCAAAGTGGGGGGTTGAGAAGAAGGGGGTGAAAAAGAGCACCGCTGAATGATATAAATATACCCTTTCCCAACTGCACTGTTGACTCTTCTCTCTTGTTTTGTGGTTGTTCCTTTTCTTTGTTTATTTTTTGCTGTGACCACTGAACTGCTCGCTTTTTTCCCGCCTGTCCCATGCTTCTGCTCTGGCTGTAAGGACTTCTTTGTGAACAATAACTCCAGACAGGTAAGTGTGCTTCTGGGCCCCCACCCAAAAAAACACCCCACCTTCCGTTGAACGAGTGAGTTCCAATGAATTCCCTTGAGCGATAAAACGCTGGACTCCCAAATTTTATTGGTTTTATTTCAAAGGGACAGAAGCTTAGGTGGGGCTGGTGGGCTCTAGTGCTTTGAAGTAAAAAACAACAGCCCTATACCCTGTTTGCATCTGCTTGCAAGGAGGCTGTTAATGTAGCCTTGGGTGTATTTTAAATTCATTAAAAGAACTTCCTTGTCTCAGAGCCGCAGTAGCTGGAGAGAAATGGATCTGTCTCTTTTTCAGCAGATCCAGCACAGCTGAATTTGGGCTTTTCCTCCATGGTCAGTAGTTGTTGGCAGAGCAGCTAAATTGCAGCTCAGAAGCCAAATCATGTGCAATACCGACTCATTTCTTGAAATTAAAACAATGTCCGAACACTTGTTAAAACATTCAGAATCTTTTACTTGCAGAACATACAGCTGACAAAGAATATATGCAAAGTATTTGTATTCACATGCTTATCCAAGCACGGGCCTAGTTTTTCTTAGTTGAAGTTTACAGCTTCTTCCTTAAACTTTCAAACAAACTGTCTCTTTCTCTCTTTCCACTCATGACCCAGCCGGGCCATGCAGATCCTTCTGAGAGGTCTCCACTTTCTCCTTCCAGCAGACTTCTTCTTACAGCTTCTTTGGGAGAATATCAACTTTCGTACTTCTTTCTGTCACATGCATTCACACAGAAACATTAGCATGCCTCTCCTCTATTGCTCTGAGAGAGAGGGGACTCAGCTATACAGCTGCAAATATAACGTTTTAAGTGTGCTTTAAGTGCATTATAAAAATGTGGCACTAGATGGCGCCAATGAGCTAATGGCAAATTCCATATACGGTATATTTTACAACATTTTTAAAAAAGCATTTTCGCAGCGTTTTTTATATCTGTGTAGATTCAGCCGCAGTTATCTAACACTGTCTCTTCCTCAGTGTTCATGGAGATGTGGCCATTGCAGTAATGTCACTCACACACACAAAACAATCAAGACTGTAATAAGATACCTCCCATGCGACCAGATTTAACCAATTGCACGAGGGTTATTGGGGAGCATTCCGGAATTAAACACAATAATGCATTTAAGCATTCCCAGGTTCAGTAAATTAAATGACTATGCTTAACAGCAGTGACTTATTCCTTGCTTCTCTAATCCGTACATGCGTGTTTCGCACTCGGCCTATGCTGTGTCTTGTGGCAGAGAGGTCGCAGGTCACTCAAGCGCTGGAAAGTGTGTGCATATGTGTTGGTAGAACGAATCTCTCTCTATTTTATGTTACTGGTTTGTATTTATGTGCAAGGTTACTGGACTTCCCTTCATCTTGCGCAGCATTCCCAGGGCATTTTCCCATATTTGCACATTTCAAGGTATAACATCCAAGGTTCAAGACAGCTGTTGTCATTTCAACGAGCCGCTGATGTCTCAGAGAGCCCCTTGTGTACTTCCTGAACCAATCTCACATTTGCATTTCTCAGCTTTTGGGACTGTGGGTGAAAAATCCTAAATGTTTCTGCCTGCAGCTCAATGTTTTGTTGGTTGTCTTTTGAATTGAGGTTTCATTTCCCCACCCTAAGTCCTCTAGATCTGTCCCCAAAGTCTTCTGTGGTAGTGTACCATTGCTGGGCCCAGCGCAAAAATAGAGTACATTCTTGGCAGCAAGAAATCCCAGGTTCAATCCCACCCCCAGCGACCTAGAATCATAGAATTGTAGAGTTGGAAGGGACCCCTGAGGGTCATCTAGCCCAACCCCCTGCTGCCAGTCAGAGTAGACAATATTGGAGGAGGAGGAGAAGTGTTATTGATGGCAATGATTCAGTTTATATCCCGTCCTTCCTCCCAGAGGAGCCCAGGACAGCAAGCACATCAAAAATAAGATAAATAAATAGATATTTCTCTTAGTGATTTCAGGGTGTGCTTTCCAGCCATCAAATTCAGTTTTCAGATTCCTTCCAAAAGTCAATAAGGAGGGAGACAGGGAGAACACACCAGGGAGCACATTCCACAGATTGGGAGCCATCCCTGCAAAGGCTCTGTCAAGTGGGGGGGTCAACACCAAGTAGGCAGCCCCCAATAATGGCACAACCACCAATACTTCACCTGCCGACTGTGGGATCCAAGCTGGTTGGTGTTAGCTGAGGTGCTCTTTTAGGTTCCAGTGCTCTGATTTTGTGTAAAATAGGTTTGTATGCGATGGTTCCCTTTTGAACACGAAGCGTCTGTATATTGAATCGTGATATTGCTCTTCCTAGGCCAATATTGTCTACTCTGGCTGGCAGCATCTCTCCATAGTCTCAGGCAGGAATCTTTCCAATCCCAGTTTGTCTGGCGATGTCAAGGACTTGAACCTCTGGCACTGACTTGGGGCTGTAAGGTAAAAGGTAAATGACCCCTGGACAGTTAAGTCCAGTCAAAGACGACTATGGGGTTGCGGCACTCATCTTGCTTTCAGGCCAAGGGAGCTGGCATTTGTCCACAGACAGCTTTCTGTGTCATGTGGCCAGCAGGACTAAACCGCTTTTGGCGCAAAGGAACATCGTGACAGAAGCCACAGCACACCAAAACATTGTTTACCTTCCCACCGCAGTGGTACCTAATTATCTACTCGTGCTGGTATGCTTTCGAACTGCTAGGTTGGCAGAAGCTGGGACAGAGCAACAGGAGCTCACCCTGTTGCGGGGATTCGAACCGCCGACCTTCTGTTCAGCAAGCCCAAGAGGCTCAGTGGTTTAGACCACAGTGCCACCCCTTCAAAAAACGAAACGGGGCTTTGAAACTCCTGAACGGAGCTCTGCAGTCTTCCCAGCTACTAGGCAAACAGTTCCAAATAGAATATCGTAATTTGTGTGCGCGAGGAAAGCCTTTACATGATCCCCACTGTCCGCACACTTGCGGGTTCTTAAATCTTTCCATCTGGATAAATATTTATACACTTGTAACCAATAGCTCCCCCCCCCTCTTTCTTTTCCCAAAAGAACATTCCGGTTTATGAAACAGCTGATTGTATTTCAGTTGCAGGCTCCGGGTTTTTCTCGTCCGCCACGGTAAAGGTTCTTGATTGATGTTCGGGATGCTGGCATGCGCCGGAAGTTCTGAAACGTCGATGTGCGCATCTGCTTATTAATGGATTCTTTTCATGCTTCCTGCAGAAAGAAGACTCTTTGGACGACACCCTCAGTTCGCGGCATAAAGTCAAGGAGCTTTCGGTTATAGACGGGCGGAGGGCTCAGAACTGCAATATTCTCCTCTCCAGGTACCTCTGCCATTCTTTTCCCTTTGGAACCTCCCTGCCTTAAGGTGGAGCGAATCTTGCAACTATCTCAGCTGAATGGTTTTCTGTAGCTGGAACCGTAATTGCATAAAACAATACAGCAATTGCTCACTAACTGCAATAGCAATTTGTTTTAGTGCATGGACAGTGCAATAGCTCCTTTGAGTCCAAAGGGGGAAATTTGACCAATCTCGTTCCAGATTTTGGAGCAATCCAATCAGGTTTTCTCTGATCCGCTGGTTTTCAGCTGATGGGTTGCAGGAGAAGCACTACTACCATAGAAAAAGATTATTATTAATAATAATAATAAGGAATGAGTCCCCAAATGCATGTTTGGGTTAAAGTTTATTCTCTGAAATGGTTGAAGATTATTGCATCTGATCCACCCAGGTGCTGGATGCTTCAGAGTTGCTTCTGTACAGATCACTCAGTTGGTAGAGCACGAGACTCTTAACCTTGGGGCTGTGGGTTCGAGACCCACATTGGACAAAAAGGTTCCTTCTTTTCAATGGCTTGGACTTCCAACACCAGAATGCTATGATTTTCTGTTGCAGGGCTACTGCAGCAATTGCAAACTTAAGAGATTGCAGCTTGTTATTCATCATAGTCATGCCACTGAAAAAATAATGTTGTTTATGGATCTCTTCCCATGAGACATCCTGAAGTGATTTACAATGTTATAAAAAAAAACCCCACATACAATCAGTCAGCTGTTTGAAACAGGTATAGCAATTGCATATATCAGGAGTTCCTAAGCTGGAGTCTGTAGACAGCCGGTCATGTGTGAGCTTTGTTCTGGTCTGTGGCATGTCTGTAAAATTGCAATGAAAAGCCATACAACGTCTAGCAAAGCACATTACGACGGACGGAACAATTATTAAGTGGTCCGCCAAGACTCTCAGCACTTTTCAAGGGGTCTGTAGGTGGATTAGAGAGACGGGGAGCTATTAGCGTATATAAAAACATTTTTTTTAAAAAAACCTACCCAGAGAGAGAGAGAGATTGAAACAACAGCAGACACAAAATAAATTCAGATCCAATGGAGGTACCAGTTTGGATGAAGATCTCTATTTAAAAGTTTTGTTGAAAGAAGAAGGCCTTTGAAGGACATATCCCTGCAAACACAATACAACTATAGAAAATAATGCCAGATGTACATTCCCTGTCTCATTGCTAATTATAACCACGCATGTACATCATTTCAGTTTATCTTATGATAAGCTGAATCGCCTGAATTGCTGATTGCTGGCAAGTGGGGAGAGTGCTCCTGTGTTCGAATCCTGCTCGAAGGTTTCCCAATGGCATCTGGTTGGCCACTTTGAAGGCAGGAAGCAGGACAAGACGGGCCATTGGCCCGGTCCGACAGGCTCATCTTACGTACTTCCATCTATACCTGTCCTGCAGTTGCCTTGATGCCTTACACGGAGTCACACCGCCGGTCCATTCAACTTAATGGTGTTGACACTGGCTGGCAGCATCTCTCTGGGGATTCAGGCAGGGGGTCTTTCCCAAGTAGCTGGAGATGCCATAGGTTGAAATTAGGACCTTCTGCGTTTAAAGCAGATACTCCACCACCCAACTAGCAAATGAATTCTCGTTTAACTCTGGTAACCTACCTTTATAGTCAGTGCTTTGGGGTTAGGTCTGCAGCTTTGTGGTTATAAATGCAGCCCTTCCCTCTTGGGACAGACACAAAAAGCACATGAAGAAGAAGAGTTTGGATTTGATATCCCGCTTTATCACTCCCCTAAGGAGTCTCAAAGCGGCTAACAATTTCCTTTCCCTTCCTCCCCCACAACAAACACTCTGTGAGGTGAGTGGGGCTGAGAGACTTCAGAGTAGTGTGACTGGCCCAAGATCACCCAGCAGCTGCATGTGGAGGAGCGGGGAAGCGAACCCAGTTCACCAGATTACGAGTCCACCGCTCTTAACCACTACACCACACTGCTCTCACGAGTGGCATAGTCATCGTCACAAACTTTATTATACCAGCCAAAGGCCATGGCATCATCCAGCAACAGTCGCTACATATACAATAAAACCACCGTCCCAATTGGGATTTTGCTAACTGGTCTGCTAAAATTCTTCACTACATAGGATAAGAGGTAATTCTCACATAAAATACACAAATTTAATCTCTTAGTGAGTAGCATAGCAGACTAAGGTTACCAGAACATCCCCATTTCCCGGGGACAGTCCCCGGATGTACAAATTAGTCCCCTGACAAAATCCATCTATTTAATGTTGTTGTTTAGTCGTTTAGTCGTGTCCGACTCTTTGTGACCCCCTGGACCAGAGCACGCCAGGCACTCCTGTCTTCCACTGCCTCCCACAGTTTGGTCAAACTCATGTTCGTAGCTTCGAGAAGACTGTCCTACCATCTTGTCCTCTGTCGTCCCCTTCTCCTTGGGCCCTCCATCTTTCCCAACATCAGGGTCTTTTCCAGGGAGTCTTCTCTTCTCATGAGGTGGCCAAAGTATTGGAGCCTCAGCTTCAGGATCTGTCCTTCCTATCTATTTAATAGGAAGTTGAAAAATGTCCCCAGATTCATTGAAAAAAAATCTGGTCACCTTATAGTAGACAGGGAGCTGGGTCCATTTCCTTCAGTTTTGAAGCTAACTGGGTGGTCCTGCCCCATTGGCTTCTTCTAAGCCCGGCCTGGCTGGGAGGGTTGTTGTCCTTGAGGATGACCTTGACCTCTGGATGCTCTTGCGGTCAACAAAACAATCCTGCAGTTCTTTTGCCTAGGAGGCTGTGAGCCACATTTCGCAGCTTTAGGATTCCAATGCCATTATCTGCTGCATTTCTCCTCGCACCGTGGAGCTGACGAAGGACCTCTGCATGCAAGCAGGCTCCTTATTTATCCTAGACATTCATAAAGCAAACCAGATATTGTCTGGCATGCAGCAAAGAGAGAGGTTCTGTCTTGCAAGATATTTTATCTCTCTCGCTCTGGGGAAAATGATTGCACGGTGAGGTCATGTTAGATTTCGTCTCGTGCAGGCGAGTATTTTTGCCGTTCCGATTTTCTCCCAGTGCCCCCTTCCTGCAAGTGCCGCATGGCCATCTAATGGCTTCTGCGTCCGGGGGCTTCAATTGTGCTGGACCAGGCTAGATATACCTGTTCCTTGCATCCAGGACAGGTGTGCTTCTGTAAGCATCCCTGCCCTCATTAGGAGGCCAGTGGGGGAACTGATATAGAAACATAGGTAAAGGTAAAGGGACCCCTGACCATTAGGTCCAGTCGTGACTGACTCTGGGGTTGCAGTGCTCATCTCGCTTTATTGGCTGAGGGAGCCGGCGTACAGCTTCCCGGTCATGTGGCCAGCATGACTAAGCCGCTTCTGGCGAACCAGAGCAGCGCACGGAAACGCCGTTTACCTTCCCGCCAGAGCGGTACCTATTTCTCTACTTGCACTTTTGACGTGCTTTCGAACTGCTAGGTTGGCAGGAGCAGGGACCGAGCAACGGGAGCTCACCCCGTTGTGGGGATTCGAACCTCCGACCTTCTGATCGGCAAGTCCTAGGCTCTGTGGTTTAATCCACAGCACCACCTGCGTCCGTGATATAGAAACATAGGAAGCTACTTTTATGGTCTCTCTAGCTCAGGGCTGCCTGCAATGACTGGTAGCAGCAGGTTTTCAGGTAAAGGTCTCTCCCAGTCGTAGCTGGCGATGCTGAGGATTGAACCCCACGGTCCTTCCGCTTGCAAGGCAGAGGCTCTGCCACTGAGCTATGAAATGGAGAATCTGTCACCATTTCACCTTCAGTCTGTTCCTAGCAGACTCCCCCTTTCCATCTTTATCTCTTGCTTTCTAAATCATTCCCTCCCACTGCTCCAAAGCTGCCACGCAGAATCATAGAACTGTCAACTTGGAAGGGACCTGGGAATCATTTAGTCCAGTGTTTCCCAAACTTGGGTCTCCTGCTGCTTTTGGACTACAGTTCCCATCATCCTCTTTTTCTGAATTTTAATTATATTCTTTTCATTATTACAATTTCCAAAACCACAGTCACATTAAAATCAACATTTATCCTCATTCATATCTTAAAGGTAAAGGTAAAGGGACCCCTGACCATTATGTCCAGTTGTGACCGACTCTGGGGTTGCGGCGCTCATCTCGCTTTATTGGCCGAGGGAGCCGGCGTACAGCTTCTGGGTCATGTGGCCAGCATGACTAAGCCGCTTCTGGCGAACCAGAGCAGCGCACAGAAACACCATTTACCTTCCCGCCGGAGTGGTACCTATTTATCTACTTGCACTTTGATGTGGTTTCAAACTGCTAGGTTGGCAGGAGCAGGGACCGGGCAACGGGAGCTCACCCCGTCGTGGGGATTCGAACTGCCAACCTTCTGATCGGCAAGTCCTAGGCTCTGTGGTTTAACCCACAGCGCCACCCGTGTCCCTCATTCATATCTTACTTTATAATAAAACAGCCATTTGCGTACTCCCTTCTTCCCCTTCCCTGGTTCCTTTGATTTTCCCACCATTCCTGCATATTCTTATATATGCATTTAATTCTCTTTTCCCTTTATTCTTCCTTTATTTTGTATTACGCTGTTACTGAATTTACCTTAATCCTGCTTACGTTTTCACCTGATTACAATTATTTGCCAAGTAATCCACAAAGTTTTTCCATTCCTCTTTACATACAGTGGTACCTCTGGATACGCACACCTCTGGTTGTGTATCCTTCAGGATGCGAACGTGGCAAACCCAGAAGTATTTTTCTGGGTTTTGCCACTTGCACAGAAGCCCTCTACTGAACCCAGGACCTTCTGCATGCAAAACAGCTGCTCTCCCATTGAGCTGCGGCCCCTCCCCCCAAAATCCCCATTTGCACAGTAGGTGCCATCCAGGTCAGTTCACATCCACAGCCCTTTGCATAAGAAGGAAGTTAAGATGATAGTCCTCATGTTTCGGAACAAAGGGCTGATCAAAATGGAAACACAGGAAGCACCCTTAGCCAGAGTCAATCCATTGGTCCATCAAGCTTAGTATTACCAACACTGGCTGGCAGCAGATTTCCAGGGTTTCAACAGTGGGCATTCCCAGGAGATGCACGGGATTAAATCCATCATGTTCTGCATACCAGGCAAGTTCTCTACCACTGACCCTTCCCCAGTGAAGTAAATTTCTGCTCCATCTCCCCGGTGCCCAGGGCATGGCTGCCCCCAATGGCAGCACCCCACGACCCATAAAAACGGATTCTGGAGAAGCCCAAAGCAGGGCAGAAGAAGCCATGCCAGGCTCAGGAACTGCCCGGTTCCCTGGACCCTGACACAACCTTGACCTTCACCATGTCTCCACTGCTGGTCGTCCGTTTAGGAGTCCAGGCACTTTCTACTTCCTCCTCCTTATTTTTAAAAATCTCATTCGATGTACGATTCTTTCCAAACCCCTGGACTGAATCCCCCCCCCCCAAAAAAAAAATTAAGCTGCCCGTGCAACTCTGATTTCTTGGGTTTGCTAACACGTTTCTGCCTTGGTGTTGCTCCTCTACAAGCAGCTAAAAGGAGCCTGGGTGAGGCCAAAGGGGGGAGACAGTCCCCTATGGGAAGCCCCTGCGTGTTTGTTTTTCACCCCCTTTTCCCAAGCTGCCACATCCCATTGACAAAGTTCGGGGCTTAAATCCTCGCGGCAGCCGACACCGTGACCCAGTTCCACCCGCTGCCCGTCTGCGCCCAGCAGCTGTTGCCAACAAAAGATAATTATTGTGTGTTTGGGCTGGGGGGCTTCCTCCTCCCTCCCTCCCTCAGTTATCAGCTTATAGCTTTTTTTGGCTGGCCTCTTTCCCATGATATTGTCGTAGCTGAGGCTGTTCTATTTTGGCACTGGGAGACGTCTGCTTCCCCCACCGGCGTTCAAAGAGCCTCTCAGGGCACTTTCGTGCAGAGGTTTTCTGTTTTCCTGGACCCACAGAGCTGGTTTTGAGCCTATTCTGTACCTCAAAAGCCCCACGAAGGTCTAACACAGCTGATTCCTTTTGCTAGTCCACACAGCAGACAGGCACCGCCAGGGCCCACACCCAGGAGAGATGTACAAAACCTCTTCAGAAATGTGCGGTTCCATCATTGTTATCAAATCAAATTCCTATCCTACCCCTTCCCCTAATGTTGTGCCCCTTCCCCTAAAGCAGTGTTTCCCAAGCTTGGCCCTCCAGCTGTTTTCGGACTACAACTCCCATCTTCCCTACTTAGCAGGACCAGTGGTCAGGGATGATGGGAATTATAGTCCAAAAACAGCTGGAGACCCAAGTTTCGGAAACCTTGCCCTACAGCTTCCTGTATTCCAGCAAACATCTGATTCTTGTCATCACTTGGCATGCAAATATTCCTTCTGTTGTCTCCTTTTTTCCTTCCCCCTTTCCCTCTCGACTGCCTTTTCAGGCTGGGATCGTAAGGAGGGTTCAGTGACACAAAAAATAAAACTGGGGGGAGGAAAGGTAAAGGACCCCTGACAGTTAAGTCCAGTCGCGAACTCTGGGGTTGTGGCGCTCATCTCACTTTACTGGCCGAGGGAGCAAGCGTTTGTCCCGGACAGTTTTTCCGGGTCATGTGGCCAGCATGACTAAGCCGCTTCTGGCGAACCAGAGCAGCGCACGGAAACGCCTTCCCGCCGGAGCGGTACCTATTTATCTATTTGCACTTTTGACGTGCTTTTGAACTGCTAGGTTGGCAGGAGCAGGGACCGAGCAACGGGAGCTCACCCCGTCGCGGGGATTCGAACCGCCGACCTTCTGATAGGCAAGCCCTAGGCTCTGTGGTTTAACCCACAGCGCCACCCGTGTAACTTCTAAAACCGGAAAAAGTGCATCCTTTAAAAAAGAGATTCCCCTCCCCCCAATTTACCCTAAACATATGTACAAAATAACATAACTATACAAACAATATGAGAACCATGCATAGAGCATATGCCATATAAAAACACAGAGATGCAGTTACATATAGTAAAGGGTGTGTTTTTTTTAATAAAAAAAGATTGACATTCTATAGGCTTTTAAAGGTGTCTGTGGGAGGGGGGGTAATTGATTTGTTTCGCTTTTGCCTTTATTAGGCATTTTGTGTTCTCATTTTGTGTTTTTCTGTTGTCAAGCGACCTGTGATCTCCTGATGAAGGGCAGTATAGAAAATAATAATAATAATAATAATAATAATAATAATAATAATAATAATAATAATTTATATACCACTCCATACCCAGAGGTCTGTTAACAATAGTAACAGTAGTAGTAGTAATAATAATAATAATAATATTCATATTCATATACCACCCATCTGACTGGGTTGCCATCCACTCTGGGCGGCTCTGAACATATATAAAAATAAAATAAAGCATTAACTATTTAAAAACTTCCCTATACAGGGCTGCCTTCATTTGCCTTCTAAAGGTTCTTGACGACCCAGTAAGATGGGCAGGGTACAAATACTAACATCATCATCATTATTATTATTATTATTATTGACAACATCAGACAGGAGGGTGTTCCACAGGGTGGGAGCCACCACCCAAAAGGCCCTCTGCCTGGTTCCCTGTAACATCACTTTTCACAGTAAGGGAACCGCCAGAAGGCCCTCGGAGCTGGACCTCAGTCTCCAGGCTGAACGACCACAGTGAGGATTGGCCCAGGATTCCTCTCCTACATAACCAGAAATGCAGACTGTTTACATGTGTTTTAATCTGTTTTTAGCTTGCCAAACGTTCTGATATTTTAATTAATGTCTCAGTGTTTTAAACAGCTGTCTTAAGCTGTTTATAGAGGTAGTTTTATTCTTTTTGTAAATCGCTTTTGAAGGTTGGGTTTTGCAATCAATCTGTATATAAGTTGTATGCAATACATGAATAAAACCATAGCTGGCATGGACAGTTTGGGCAAACACCCTTCTTGCCTTCCATATACAACTCCACGTACGAGACTGGGCTTGTCTGGGACCAAAGCTGGAACTGAGCCGCAAGATTTTGGATACTTGTCCGGTCTGCCTGCCTAACAGGGTGTCCCATTGTTGCTTTTCCAGGCTAAAATTGTCCAACGACGAAATCAAACGTGCCATCTTATCAATGGATGAACAAGAGGACCTGCCAAAAGATATGCTAGAACAGGTGAGGGCGCCTGGAGTCACGTAAAAGAGCCGTGGTTTTAAAAAATGAGAATACAGTGGTGCCCCGCAAGACGAATGCCTCGCAAGACAGAAAACCCGCTAGACGAAAGGGTTTTCTGGTTTGGAAGTGCTTCGCAAAACGAATTTCCTATGGGCTTGCTTTGCAAGACGAAAATGTCTTGTGAGTTCCTGCAGGGTTTTTTTCCTCCCCCCCCCTTTCCCCCAAGCCGCTAGGCCGCTTATCAGCTGATTCGCTATGCCGCTTAACAGCTGATCCGCTAAGCTGCTTATCAGCTGATCGCTAAGCCGCTTAACAGCTGATCCACTAAGCCGCTTATCAGCTGGCCCGCTAAGCCGCTTAACAGCTGATCCGCTAAGCTGCTTATCAGCTGATCCGCTAAGCCGCTAATAGCGCTAAGCCGCTAAGCCGCTAATGGGCTTGCTTCACAAGACGAAAAAACCGCAAGACGAAGAGAATTGCGGAACGGATTCTTTTCGTCTTGCGAGGCACCACTGTATGTTTAACAAAACACTTGGAAACCTGGGCAACACTTCTGTGGGTCTTATGTGCCTTTCCTCCTCTGTCAATTGCTGCACAGCCATTATTCTGTCCCTCTCACACAACCCCAACCACATTCTCTATCTTAATATATATTTTTTTTAAAATCTAAATTCTACAAATCCCTCCAATTACGTTTTTGGGAAGTTGGGAGAATCCTTGTAAATGTGGTTTGTTTGTTTTTACAGTTACTCACTTCTAAAGTGCAGTTTGGGGGCAGTGCCGAATTTACATATAAGCTAAACAAGCTATAGCTTAGGGCCCCACTCTCTTGGGGGCCCCAAAAAAATTTAAAGGTAAAAAACTTGGATGTACATTTCCAAAATATAAGATAAAAAACAAATAAAATAAAACCTACATGCAGCAACAGTGTTTTGTGTTGTGTAGGCTCCTATGAAGTAAGTCATGGGCCCCGCCTGCTAGCCTGTTCCCTGAAATATCACTGGTTTGCTCATTTCTATATATAGCATGCCTACGTTCTTCATGTGCAAATGGCTTTAGATACCTATTAGGTCCATAAATTACCATATATCATATATTCAACACAAAAAACCAGCGGCAATTTGTTGTTGACAAAGGACAGCTGGACATATAAAGGGCCCCATTACCTTCAGTAGCTTAAAGGTAAAGGTAAAGGTACCCCTGCCCGTACGGGCCAGTCGTGTCCAACTCTGGGGTTGCGTGCCCATCTCGCTTAAGAGGCCGGGGGCCAGCGCTGTCCGGAGACACTTCCGGGTCACGTGGCCAGTGCGACAAAGCTGCATCTGGCGAGCCAGCGCAGCACACGGAAACGCTGTTTACCTTCCCGCTAGTAAGCTTAGGGCCTCCTCAAACCTAAATCTGGCCCTGGGTGGGGGCCTCCCCTTCAGGTTAAGTAGGAATGGCCCTCTTTGCAAGCAGCCATTCCATAATTGGTTGACTGGATCCAGATGAGGGCGAGTCTCCTACAAGGTACCCAAAGGATGATGGGAGTTGTAGTCCAAAACGTCTGGAGGACACCAGATTGGCGAAGGCCATGTTAGAGGACCTTGGGTCAGTTTCACAGCTGGCCTTTGTCTGTCCCACTCGAGGAAGATGCTGACCACACAGGAGAGGGGCGAGTGTGTTTTAAAGTGTTACCTCTCTCTCTCTAAACTCCCCCCCCCCCGACCTTCCCTTTCTCAGCTTCTAAAATTCGTTCCGGAGAAAGCTGACATCGACCTGCTGGAGGAACACAAGCACGAATTGGACCGAATGGCGAAGGCAGACAGGTTCCTCTTCGAAATGAGCAGGTGATTTTTGGCAAGAAAACGCAGTTGCCCTCTGGGCCGAAAAGCGCAGGCCGTGGCAGACTGCGGCCCCTTCCCAGGGCAGTTTGCAAAAACATAGCAGGCAATAACTGGAAAAAATAACAATAATTATTGTGAATTGCAATCAGGAGTTGCCAAGATGGTGCCTGTGGGTGACATTGCGGCCACTGAGGCCTCATATGCCACCCGTGAAAGGTCCCAGGAAATATCCCCTCAGAGATCCACAACGCACAAGGCACTGTTTGTTCTTCCTGCTCAGTTCCACTGGCTACGCTGCTCCTACCCTGAACACCCCCTCCCCTTAAACATTCCCATATTCCATTGGATGCCAAGGCTGGGCACACACTCTCAATGGAAGAGGTGCAAAGCAGTGGCGGAATTTGGGCTCTCAAATTTCAGCAGCTAAAATTTGGAGGCCCCTGCCTCTGGTGCTCCATTCTGCAGCGTGGTTGTGGTGACCCCAGCAGCGTGGTGCCCGGCCTCTGTGCAAAGAGCTTCCGGGCCGAAAAGGTTGGCGATCTCTGCATTACATAATTAGCAACGCCAGTACATATGACTTAACCCAGTGTTCCCCAACCTTGGGCCTCCAGCTGTTTTTGGACTACAACTCCCATCATCCCTCGCTAGCAAGACCAGTGGTCAAGGATGATGGGAATTGTAGTCCAAAAACAGCTGGAGGCCCAAGGTTGGGGAACACTGACTTAACCCACTGGACTCTTAAAAGTCTGGCAAAAATGGCAGATCTTTATCTAAAAGTGCCCAAGGCAATATAAGGTTGGGTTGATACACACTTTGGTCTCCAGACCTGTAGCCAGTGTAACAATGGAGTCTGGGTGGTGGTTTTAGCTCCTAGGAAAGCTCAGGGATCTTTGCAGTAAACGCCATTGAAAGTCGTGCTTGGTCAAGGGCATGGAGATGTCTTCTGCAAATGGTTGGCTTTGGCAATCTAGACATCAGCAGGCACTGTCATGTTGGGAAAACGCCCTGGGGTGCCCCTTCTGCAGCCCCCGAAATCCGAGCATCCTCCGGTATGGCCAGCTCTGGAAAAGGCATTCCTGTTCTTCTCCAGTGCGCTTCAGTGACATACATCAAATGATATATGCACACTAATCTTCTAGCATAACACAGCAAGAAGTGTGAGACATCATAGAGCTAATCTACATATATATTTACACCCTGTGTACAGACAAAAGGAGTCATAGCGTCTTCTCTCTCCAGCTCCGAGAGAAGAACAGGCAGAAGTCAAAGCAAAAGTACAGTACAATAGTACATACAGCGGAAGAGATAAGACTGTCTTCCATTCCCACACTCTTCCCAGACAGGCATGTGATTTACACCAATCTCATCTGCAGCATCGGAGGCGTGTAATATTAACATCCTCCCCCATTTCAGGTAACTGAAGCTGCATAGGCTAACACAGCAGTAAGTGAAGTAAACATACACTTGTCATACACATAGTATACCCCTGTGGTACCTGTTGCACCTTTGGAACTACCTGCAACTGGACTGGTCTTGTGCCTGACCACCTTGCACTTCTGGTTACCTTCCTTCCATGGGACGAGCCCTAGCTGCGCCTGTCTAAGCAAACAGTGTTGACCCTTGCAGCCTTTGGGAGTGGTTTCACGTCCTTTGAGGACAAACCCTGTACCCCCTGCAAGTCCTCAGGTTTCAAAACCTGTTTTGAGCTACTAGCCACAGCTATAGATATATCAATCCGAGACACAGCCCTTTCCCGCCATATCTTTTCCTAGTTGCCAACTCGAGGTTTGTTCTTTCCGTCTCTTGCAGGATAAACCATTACCAGCAAAGGCTGCAGTCCTTGTATTTTAAAAAGAAGTTTGCTGAGCGAGTTGCTGAAGTTAAGCCTAAAGTGGAAGGTAAGTCTTGTGTTATAAGGGGGGGGGGATCTTTTTAAATCCATGGGTGTCTTGGCTCAGATCTTCCTAAACAAAGCAAAAAAATTCAACTTTTTTTTAAAAATACCACATTTTTTGCTCTATAAGACTCACCTTTTCCCTCCTAAAAAGTAAGGGGAAATGTGTGTGCGTCTTAAGGAGCGAATGCAGGCTGCGTGGCTATCCCAGAAGCCAGAACAGCAAGAGGGATTGCTGCTTTCACTGTGCTGCGATCCTTCTTGCTGTTCTGGCTTCTGAGATTCAGATTTTTTTTTCTCTTGTTTTCCTCCTTCAAAAACTAGGTGCGTCTTGTGGTCTGGTGCGTCTTATAGAGCGAAAAATACGGTATTTTCAAGAAATGATAGAGATGCAGGGATAAAGATCACATTCCAGCACAATTACTGTTTACCCTGCACCCTGAACTCTCCTTCCTTCTATGAACATACAAAAGACTTCTACAGTATATGAAGGATTAAGTTATTTTCTAATGGTAGTGCAGGAAGTCTTATTCCGACACGGTACATACCACTTGCTCAAAGAATAGTCTTCATGCACAAAATATGGCAGGTACCTGTTAGCTGCACTTTCCAGATAAAATTGAAGGCATCTTCAATCCAGCAGGCTTTCCCAGCTAGATGAAAGGGCCTGTGCCATGGGTGCCCATTTTGTTTTTTTTAATATTCATTCATTCAATTCATATACCGCCATTTATCAAAAGATCCCAGGGTGGTGTACAACATTAAAAATACATTACAGAACATCAATTATAAAAAGCATAACAAAAACATAATGGAAAGCATACTGCATAGCTGCTGGTTGTGTTTTTAACTCTTTTCTGCTGTACACCTCCTTGGGGCGACTGTGTGGGATTCATAAATCAACGATAATGACGACAATAGTAATATTACTAACAAAATCTTTTCCCCTTTGCAGCAATCCGCACTGCTTCAACAGAGACGTTCCAGAGCAAAAGCCTAAAGCAGCTGCTGGAGGTAGTTTTGGCCTTTGGGAACTACATGAACAAAGGCCAACGGGGAAATGCGTACGGGTTCAAAATCGCCAGCCTCAACAAGATTGCGGACACCAAATCCAGCATTGACAAGTAAGCCCAAGCCGCTTCTGCCTCGAGAGCGTGAGTCCAGTTCCTTTCTGCGAGAAAGAGATGCAGGAAGAATCTCTTTTTGTGGGATTGTAGTCAGTGCCCACAAGGGGGGGGGGGTGCTGTGGGTTAAACCACAGAGCCTGGGACTTGCCGATCAGAAGGTTGGAAGTTCGAATCCCCACGACGGGGTGAGCTCCCGTTGCTCGGTCCCTGCTCCTGCCCACCTAGCAGTTCGAAAGCACATCAAAGTGCAAGTAGATAAATAGGTACCACTCTGGCGGGAAGGTAAACGGTGTTTCCGTGCACTGCTCTGGTTCTCCAGAAGCGGCTTAGTCATGCTGGCCACATGACCCGGAAGCTGTACGCCGGCTCCCTCGGCCAATAAAGCGAGATGAGCGCCGCAACCCCAGAGTCGGCCACGACTGGACCTAATGGTCAGGAGTCCTTTACTCAGTGCCCACAAGTAACAGCTGCAGAAACACTTTTTGAGATTCAGCCCAGGTTTACGTCGAAACCCTGCATGTCACTGTATTCAGGACATGTCCTGTATTCAGGACCTTTATCAGCTAAAGGGTTATCATAACGGAACAGTTTCTTTGCAAATGAATTCTCACCCCACCATTATTATGTCAGGCACCCTCATTCAAGGCGATGTGTCTGATGTCTGGAGCCCGGCTATTTCGCTGTTTATTAAGTTCATATCCTAAGGAGTTCCGCATCTAAAAAGTTGTAAAACAATCAAATACCCTGATAGTGAATAATTTCAAGGGTGCCAGGGAAACTTAGAAGACATCTGAAGGCAGCCCCGCATAGGGAAGTTTTTTAATGTTTAATGTCTACTGGGCTATTAAGCTGCTCAGAGTGACTGGGGCAACCCAGTCAGATGGGCGGGGTGTAAATAATAAAATTGTTGTTGTTATCCTTTGGCCAGAAAATTCTTGGGTAAACAGGAATGCTTTGGATTCCTCCTGAAAATTAATAAAAATGCAACACACCATGGAGGACATTCCACAAATGGGGAGCCACCACCAAGAAGGCCATATCATGGATAAAACTGCGACTGTGCAGCACCCAGCAGTACCACTGCTATTTGTTATGACTGCCTGTCTTGCTGTTGCATGTAGTAAAAGTCTGTTTCCCAGAAGACCTTTCTCTTGCACCCCCATTCCTGTACTGCGCAGGTGGCTTGCCCTGTGCGACGAGCCCCTTTTCACAGTAACTTTTCAGGATCCTGTTGCTTCCTCCAAAACAATTCTATCCCTCACAAATAGAGGCAATTTTTGCAGCTGAATACAGGAGCCACAAACCTTTGTTGCATCCATATATATCCATCACTGCCCTTCTTGTGTTGTAGGAACATTACCCTGCTGCATTATCTCATCACCATCGTAGAAAAGAAGTACCCCAAAGTCCTCAACCTGCACGAAGAACTGAAGGATGTCCCCCAGGCTGCCAAAGTGAAGTGAGTGTCGTACGATTGGGTCAACGCCTGGGATTGCGGGAGGCCAACTGTGTTCATGATTTTTAGCACGTTTCTATTGAGAGCCGAGGGACTCGGAGGGCGCTGTGTGTTAAACCACAGAACCTAGGACTTGCTGATCAGAAGGTTGGCGGTTCGAATCCCCGCGACGGGGTGAGCTTCCGTTGCTCGGTCCCTGCTCCTGCCAACCTAGCAGTTCGAAAGCACGTCAAAGTGCAAGTAGATAAATAGGTACCACTCCGGCGGGAAGGTAAACGGCGTTTCCGTGTGCTGCTCTGGTTCGCCAGAGGCGGCTTAGTCATGCTGGCCACGTGACCCAGAAGCTGTACGCCGGCTCCCTCGGCCAATAAAGCAAGATGAGCGCCGCAACCCCAGAGTCGGTCACGATTGGACCTAATGGTCTGGGGTACCTTTACCTTTACCTATGGAGAGCTGAGCCCTAAGCAAAGCGCAATGAGGACATTGCTGGGAGGGTTCTCCCCAGACTGAAGAGGGTTTGGATGAGGCCAAGGTGTCCCTCCACCCAGAAGGAGGGCCTGCTGATGGGGGAGCCCCACTGCACCCGCCCAAATAGAAGTGAACACCCAGCAGCAGCTGCCGGAAACATGCACACACACCCCAAAAAACCCACTGGCTTTATTTAGCTGCAAGCCAGGGTGGTTTAATTGTGAGCCAATTAGCGTGCACTCATGTTCAAGAAATCCGTGGTTGCAAAGATGGGGTATTTGGTTTTTAAATCAGATACTTGCTCTCTCCCTCTCTTCACTTTCTTCCTTGCTGGTTTTAATCAACACGCTTTGAGGGATTTCACCATTAATTGGTATGTGCAGGCAGCCTCGTAAAGGACTTTGAAGTGAATTAAGGAGAAGCAAACAGGTCTTTATTGGGTTTATAGGGAGGCCCTGCAACAAGTGGAGCAGGAGAGCACAATTATTGACTCTAAAATAAATGCACCTGTAGTTTGCGGGAGTCGAAAGCCAGGCGCCAGTTTGCGATCTTGATTGTTTGTGCAAAAGGTGAGCGTAGGCAGAAATGTCTGTCTGGGTCCAAGGCCTGCAGGCCTATTTCCTGCAATGCAGGAGATGTTCGGCGCCAGTGCTGCAGATTCAGAATTTCTACCCTGGGTTTAGTGGTGCAACGGGGATCCCGACACACTCCTTGGCTGCAATGTGTGTTACTCCACTTGATTCGAAACGTGGCAAGCCAGCCCTGTGGCGTTTGGGGGGACATTCTGCTCCCTTTGTTGTGGGGGGCCTGGACATTTCCTGATGCTGAGTCAGAATCTCCTTCCTTGCGACTTGAAGCCATGGGTTCGAGTCCTACCATCCAGAGCAGGACAAAACAAGCTTGTTCCCTCTCCCATGTGACAGCCCTTGAGATATTTGAAGATGGCTTTCATATCTCCTCTCAGTCTCCTCTTTTGCAGGCCGTGAATGTCATAACTCACAGGCTCGTCAATACGAAAATTTGAATTTTACATAATGCACATTGCTACAGCCACTTTATGGGACACAGGTGGCGCTGTGGGTTAAACCACAGAGCCTAGGGCTTGCCGATCAGAAGGTTGGCGGTTCGAATCCCCGCGACGGGGTGAGCTCCCGTTGCTCGGTCCCTGCTCCTGCCAACCTAGCAGTTCAAAAGCACGTCAAAAGTGCAAGTAGATAAATAGGTACCGCTCCGGCAGGAAGGTAAACGGCGTTTCCGTGTGCTGCTCTGGTTCGCCAGAAGCGGCTTAGTCATGCTGGCCACATGACCCGGAAGCTGTACGCCAGCTCCCTCAGCCAATAAAGCGAGATGAGCGCTGCAACCCCAGAGTCAGCCACGACGGGACCTAATGGTCAGGGGTCCCTTTACTTCTACTTTTACGGCCACTTTGAATCTTAACACACATCGCCCAAAATTATTTTATTTGTTTGCATGTCAGACAAATGCCTTCAGTAGCATCTTTTTGGTACCTACTGAAGATCTTATCCTTGTTTTTCAGCAAGCCTTTCAAGTGGAAGTTATTATTCCCAGTTTGTTTTTGCAATGTATTTGAAATTGGACGGATGGAGGGACAGATGAGGCAGGCAAACAGATGATCTTTTTGTTGATAAAGTTATGGTTACGTAGGATCAATTAAAAAACAAGTCAGTCCCTTAGAAGCTTGAAGTCTAAAAGACAGGGCACAAAAGGAAAGAGGCATGAGGAAGGGAAAGGAGTGGGAGCCAAATTCTGGCACCAGTTTTTAGAGAAGATGCTGATGCAAAGTTTGCTGCAGGCGAGAGCATAACCTAAAAGCAGGAGGAAATGCAACCTATGTATTTTATTTGTTGTTGTTTTTCAATGGGAGACATGCAGCCGGCTTTGGAGCTGTGTCTCTGGAAATGTAACTGACTTCCTTTATTTCTGGCAGCATGACTGAGCTGGAGAAGGAAATTGGCACCTTGCGAAGTGGGCTGAGGGCTGTGGAGACAGTAAGTATTGTTCGCCCACTTAATGGCCCCCCTGCTTTTTTTAAGCACCCGTCCTTAAGAGAGGAAGGAGGCGAAGGCGACTGGAGCTGCTTTTATCTCCCTTCCCAGAGGCCGTTCTCTTTCTCCTCCTTCCTGACCTGCAGCTCATTACTGCTCATTATGGTTTTATAGAACTCTTAAGGACCTGAGTCGCTTGCCTTTGTCTCTTTAATTATAAGCATTTTTTTAAAAAGGAAGTTTGTTTGGGGATAGGCACAGCTGGTGCAGATGTAACCTTCCTGCCAGTTTTTGCCAACCTGGTTCCCTGCATATGTTCTGGATCACAGCTTCCATTAGAACCCCGGCCAGCTGTGCTGGAGAAGACCTGATACTGTATGCTTGGAAGTCTTCCCATTTTTAGAAGAGTTTTTGCTGATGGGGCTTAATATTCGTAGACTCAGCCTGACTGATCTTGTTATATGCTGCTGTGGTTGTGTTTGCTTTTGTGTGTGTGTGGTTGTGTGTGTGTGTATTATTATTATTATTATTATTATTATTATTATTATTATTATTATTATTTGTATGTTCATTTGCCACTGCTCTTTTTGTTCTTTGCAAAACTATTCTTTCTTTTTTAAATTATCTTTTATATTATATTGATTTTTTTTAAAAAAACCTGTAAATGTAAACTGATTTAATAAAGAAAAGTGGAATACAAATGAATGGGGGGGAAACTGTGGATAAGTGATAAGGTTGTAGGTTGCACACACAAATTCCCTCAAATTTAACCTGGGTCATTATAACTCGCCAGTCATCAGGAAGGTCTATGAGCAGGTCGCAGCAATATAAAATATAGCATGAAAAACAGTTTAATTGTAGAATTGTAGAGTTGGAATGGATCCCAAAAGGCATCTAGTCCACCCCACCCTGATGCAGGAATCTCAGCTGAAGCATCCATGACAGGTGGCCACCCAACCTCTGCTTAAAAACCTCCAAGGATGGAGGGTGTGCCCAGCTGATACCAAACTGGGAGGGAGGATAATTCTTGGGTTGGATAGAGCCAAGGGTGACAGCTCAAGGTAGGATATCTGCTTGGCATGCAGAAAGTTCCATCCTGAGCATCTCCAGGTAGGGCTAAGGATGTGTCTGGCTCACTATAGGGCAGTTTTCTGTGTCCCTGTGATCCACACAATAATCCCTATGCCCATGCGCTTGCAGTATTCAACACATGTACCTTAAATGCATGAGATAGTGCCACACAGAAGCAGCTCTCTCATGCTGGGTGAGCATGTGTTGAGCATTGGGTTTCTGCCGCTCAGGTCTTTGTGGATCCCAGCCAGCACCTGGGTGGATGACTGCCATGGTTCTTCTCCTTGAACTCCCAATAACCAAAATGAATTTCTTTCTCTCTGTGTGTGTCTCTCTCTCTCCTCTTTCCAAAGGAACTGGCGTACCAGAAATCTCAGCCTCCCCACCCAGAAGACAAGTTCGTTTCCGTCGTCAGCCAGTTCATCACGCTGGCCAGCTTTAGCTTCTCCGATGTGGAAGATCTCCTGGCAGAGGCCAAAGAACTGGTAAGAAAGTGAAACCTCTGGAGCTCCTGGCGCTCCAAACCTCTCTGCTTTGTAGGGATAGGACCTTCATCCTCAGTTCCAGGAGATATAAGACCCTCACCAAAGGCAGTTGCCAACATTGGCAGGGCTACAGTTGCGTCAGTCCAAACAAGCCAAGGTCAAGCACATGGAATCAGTCTAAGTCCAAAATGTGACCCAGAAGCGAAGTTATGAAACAGTCCAAAGTCTGGGACAGCCGCAAAGAGGAGTAACTAGAATGAAGAGCAAGGACAGAGAGCCACTGGAAGGCTCAAGAATGCCTTATATTATCTGGCTTACCAGATTTCTTTTCTTCTTCTTCTTTGGCGATCACTTGTAGCCAAGTAAGATTGTCTTCCAGAAACACGGTTTTAACAGTGAGTCTGTAAGTGACTGTGGAGGCCAATTCTGGATCCACACGTCCTTCCACAGTGGGGACATTGGTTTCCGGGCGGGAGTTGATCACGGTGAGGGTTTGGCAAGCATGCCTTCGTCTTAGCACCTTTCTCCCTTGCATCCTGATTTCGAGTGTCTTCAAAGCCCATGACACCTTTGGTAAAGGCTGTTCTCCAGTTGGAGCGCTCACAGGCCAGTGTTTCCCAGTTGTCAGTGTTTATACTACATTTTTTTAGCAAGAGCCGTGCCACTATGTTCATCCATAGATTCATGTTATGTTGCTACACGTCAGCCTGAGCCTTTAGGTGCTGGCATTCTTGAGGACGGTTTTCATCTCCTCCTCTGACTGTTCCAAGGCTTCTTAAGCAGGGCTTGGGGATCCTCAGCGCTGGTTCCAGGAGACCCTGCCTGCTCATTTGCCCCAAGGTCCTCGGCTTGTGGAGTGTCTGGTTCATCCTCCAAGGACACAGTGCCTGTCACCAACTCAGGGCTAGGCATGGCAGTCTGTGGTTTGGGTCATGGTTGCATATTCCCATTTTACAGCTGGATAACTGAGACTGAGGGAATGTGGCTTGCCTGAGGCAACCCATTGAATGGCTGACTAAGCCGGAACCTTGAACTCCCAAGTTGCGTCATAGACCTACAATTCCCAGAGTGGTTTAACAACCAATCCCTCTTGTAAGGGTATAAGGGGGTTGCTCGAGAGCAATCAGGCAAATGCCTCCCTGGTCGGCTGTAAAGCCTTGTTATTGGTGCCAAAAAGATCTTCACCATGCAGAGCGCCACTATTCCGTGGCTGGCTCATTCACTGGCAGAATCTGAGAGTGGGCGGTCCTTAAATTTTCCCCAGCAGAGCAGTTTCTTGACACCCAGTCTGCGCTTCCCCTCTCTGCGCGGAAGCCTACTGCGCAGGGAGGGCGTGGGTAACGGAGGACCTCTCTCCTCCCCGCTTTGCCCAGGCAAGGTGTCCCGGCACCGCCTCGCCTCCTCCGAGCCCTGAAGCTCCTCTCCACTGGAGGCGTGGTTACTCTCCTCCGCTGAGGAGGTGCTGCTTCCCAAGATCTTTGGGGGCTCTCTGTAATCCATTCGGCTTTTCCCCTCTCGCCCCTGAGCCGATGGCAGTTCCCTGACCCCTCTTCACATGGAACTCTGTGAATTGTAGCTGTGTGGCAGGGAAAGGGGTCTCCTAGCAACTCTCAGCACCCTTAACAAACTACAGTTTCCAGAAAATTGTTTTTTGGATGTCCACAACTAATTCTTTTCTTAAAACCATCTAAAGCCAGTGACCCTAAAGGACCACCAAGGCGCCCCTTGGGATCTGTTTGTGTTTCTTTATTTTACAAACCCTTGACATTGCTACACACGTCTTGCATGAGCGTTTGGCTTGCAAATTTTATTTGCTTTGCGCAATTCTGTAGATAACAAAAAACTTCATGGTTTTGGATGGGCAAAGTTTCGTTTTTGAAAAAGAGGGAGGGGGGGAACACCTCCTTTCCAAACGCTTCAATAGCACATTTGGTTCTAATGCTGAAGCATGTGGGAACGATAAATAAAACACAAGCGCAAACCTTCAAAGAGAAGTTGAAAATGCGAGTTTGCCCCTCTCCCTGTTGTGCGTTCGCGTTTTATTATCTCCTCTGCTGCAGTGTTGTGCCCTGTTGGTTTTATTGCTCCTGAGTTAATAATACTAATAATGAAAAAAAGAGGAGGTAGAGGATAAAGGGCATTAATTGAAAGCAGAGGTGTGACTTCCTTGATGTCTTCAGAATGGCAGAAGCTGTTCCGACAGGGGAAGCAGAACAGACCTTTGGAAAGGGAGGTTTGGTGAGGCCTGGGGTCTAACTCTAGCCACCAGAATTCGGATTTGGGGGCAAGGAATGGTGTAATGCGGCAAAGCAGAGCAAGGCCTTGGCTTCTACTCTCCAGATATGTAAGGGATTAAGGACTAGCTTCATGAGCTGAACTGGCCAAAGTCTGACCTAACACTGGTTGTTTGGGACCTGGTGAAATTAGGAAACAAATGTGTTTCGATTTCGGAATTATTTGTATTGCATTGCACCCTGCCCATCTGACTGGGTTACCCCAGCCACTCTGGGCGGCTTCCAGCATATACATTCTTGACATCTGATGGGAGGGCATTTCATAGGGTGGGTGCCACCACTGAGAAGGCCCTCTGCCTGATTCCCTGTAACCTCACTTCTCGCAGGGAGGGAACCACCAGAAGGCCCTCAGAGCTGGACCTCAGTGTCTGGGCAGAACGATGGGGGTGGAGACGCTCCTTCAGTTATACTGGGCCAAGGCCATTTAGGGCTTTAAAGGTCAACATCAGCACTTTGAATTGTGCTCAGAAATGTACTGAGAGTCAACGTAGGTCTTTCAGGACCGGTGTTACATGGTTCCAGCAGCCTCTCCCAGTCACCTGCCTAGATTGGTTGTAGTTTCCAAATAGTTTTTGCTTCCTTCTTTAGTTATTATATTTTTACACACACCCCAAATTTCCCTCCAAGGAGCTAAAGTCAGCTTGTGTGATTCTTCACAACCTCACACCCACACACACAACACAACAACCCTGTGATGCAGGTTAGCTTGAGGGAAGATGACAGGGTTGAAGTCACTCAGTGATCTTCATGGCCAATTGGGGATACGGCCTAAAGAAGGATACAAAACAAGTTGGTGCATGCAGAGAAAATCTCCTTCCTGAATCAGTGACAGATTTAGACCAAAGAGGCTCTCTTTGAGAGGGTTGCTTTGAGCCAATAAGTCCCCACAAAGTAAAAAACATGCGTATTTTCTTTCTCTAGTTTGCCAAGGCAGTGAAGCATTTTGGGGAAGACCCTGGCAAAACGCAACCGGACGAGTTCTTCGGGATCTTCGACCAGTTCCTGCAGGCTGTGACCGAAGCCAAACAGGAGAATGAGAACATGAGGAAGAGGAAGGAGGAAGAGGAGCGACGGGCGCGCATGGAAGCCCAGGTGGGGATAATCGTGTAGGGTGGGGGGTCCCTCGCATGTCCTTGGCAGCCCATAGCTGAAGGGGGGGCCCAGGTGGCTCGATGCACCCATGGTTTTGACTCCATTTCAGACAGCTGCTTCACAATCGACACAAGCTATGCAAGTCAAGCTGTCGGTGCATCTAGTTGTTGGGGTGTTAAGTTGCCATGCATCTGTCTTGGGATATGAGGGGTAGAGAAATTGCAAAAAAAATTGTGTGCAAAAATGAAAACCGATATAAATTATTGGGGGAATGCATAGGTAAAGGTAAAGGGACCCCTGACCGTTAGGTCCAGTCGTGACCGACTCTGGGGTTGCGGCGCTCATCTCGCTTTATTGGCCGAGGGAGGCGGCATACAGCTTCCGGGTCATGTGGCCAGCATGACTAAGCCGCTTCTGGCGAACCAGAGCAGCGCACGGAAACACCGTTTACCTTCCCGCCAGAGCGGTACCTATTTATCTCCTTGCACTTTGACGTGCTTTCGAACGGCTAGGTTGGCAGGAGCTGGGACCGAGCAAAGGGAGCTCACCCCATCGCGGGGATTTGAACCGCTGACCTTCTGATTGGCAAGTCCTAGGTTCTGTGGTTTAACCCACAGCGCCACCCACGTCCCATGGGGAATGCATACATTAACACAAATGCACATGGACAAATTTCATGTGGGCTTAAAAATATATCGGAAGGTGATGCAGAAACAGGGCACACTCAGCTCAAGGATGGAGAATCGGTTTATTGCTTTTCCAGTGTTTTAAGTTACAGCGTGTTGCTCGTAGGGTGTGTCAAATCCCTGCCCGTTAACCCTTCCTTTTCCCCCTTCCCATTAGCTCAAAGAGCAGCGAGAGAGGGAGCGCAAGGCGAGGAAGGCAAAAGAAAACAGCGAGGAGGGCGGGGAGTTCGACGACCTCGTCTCGGCCTTGCGGTCCGGCGAAGTCTTTGACAAAGACCTGTCCAAACTCAAGCGCAACCGCAAGCGCATCACCAACCAGCTGGCGGATGGCAGCCGCGAGAGGCCGGTCACGAAACTCAACTTCTGAGCGCGCGTGTATATATATATACATATATCTATATATGTATATATATATATTTCAGAAGAAAACTCTAAACCAACCAACAGTCGTCTTGGAGGACACCAGGTCTTTTTACCTTCTGCCTTGCCAGCCCATCAGTGGCCCTCCCTCCCTCATCTCGTCCTGCCTGTGCATGAATGTTTTCAGTGGGAGCATGAGTGCAGGTGCGCTGCGCCCAGAGTCTGGTGGTGCGGCTGGGATTCGGAACTGTGTGCATGCGCGAGCGCGGGCGTCAACATGCACAGGCACCGCTGCCTGCATGAGTTCTCCCTTTTCCATCAGTTGCGGGAGGCGTGGGGGGGGCAAGTGTCGCCGCAAAAAGTAGCTTTCATGCTGTCTAAGCACAAGTGTCGGTGATCGAGAGAGAAAGAGAGGGGGAGGCGAAAACATCCCCCCCAATACCAAGGAAATGAGAGAGGCTGGTGGGCGATAGCACTTGGGTCCGTTCTGGGGGGGTCCTTTTATTTTGGGGTGGGGGGAAACAGCTTGGAGTTAAGAGGGGGAAAGAAGTGCTGCTATTGTGCTACGTTAGCGCAAGGGCGTTTTGACATGGACAGCCCAGCCTCGGAAACCTGTTGCCATTGAGGCTACAGGTGGCGGGAGACGTCCGTTAGAAACCGCTCTTGTTCAGTCTGAACGTAGCATTGTTGGGGGAAAGCCGAGATTATTATTTTTTGTTTCTGTTTTCACTCAGAACTTGAACATCCCTTGTGGCCGTTGTGCCAGCTCCTTTGTGTTCCGTAACCCCCATTTTTGGGGGGGACACGGGGAGTCATGCTTCTGTTCCTTTCGAACAAGACGCACCTCTCTCTTTGGGAGCCTTCAGGGAACCAGCTGAAGGCGATCCAAAGGATTTTCTCATTGCTGTAACGACACCGATGTAGAATTCACTCTTGTGTGGGGGGGTTTTTTTTGCCTGAGACCAGATGGTGGGGTGGGGGTGGGGATTTGGGGGAGGGGGCTGGGTCTCTTCTTAACTTTTCGTTTTAACGGAAGAAAGCGTCTGTGTATTCATTATCGTCCGTTTCCCATTCCCCGTCCCGACAGGACAAACTGTATTCTCTGTAAACGTCGCTCAGAATTGGCTCTGTTCAGGCCAGTTTCGCTGTAATGTACCCGGCCAATGCAGGATAACTCCAGGAGCGCCTTGGCGTAATGTGCAAACTTTGGCCCCGATCCAGAAGAGCCTTTCCCGTGCATGGCAAGGGTTGGCTAATGAACTCTCGAGTATTCATAGTTGGGCTTTCCATTATGCAGCCTGCCCCCCTTCTGCTTTCCCCATCACACAGACAGCCCTCTTAAGGCTGCCTCTGTTTACAGATCTGTGCCAGAATGATGAGCATGGATCTTGGAAGGGCAACCATGCTTGCCGGGGGCATTGCCCCAGGGTTTCCCTTTCCCTCGAAAGAGGTTAGTAGGGAGTTTCTGCAAAGAAGGGGTCTGGGAGATGTTAGGGACCTAATGTATAGCGCAAGGGTAGCAGGAAAAAGGCCGCGAAAATTCTTGTTTCTTGCAAACGGGCTTTGCTGTTCATAATGTTTTCCTCTTTGCAGATTTGTAAGAAATTTGTCAAGTTGTCAATCCGAAATCTCCTTAAACCCAGATTGCTCAGGGAGTAATTAATAATTTAAAAACGAAACAGTAATACAAAATATAAAAAATAATAATGGAAAAGTTAAAAAAAAAAAGCCAATCTTATAGCGTGGCTTAATATCCTTAAATTATAGAGAATATAGAGGACTGTTACTTTCTTTCTTTTTTGCTTTTATTTATTTGCGGGTTTTTCTCTTAAGTGATTTTTATACCATCCACATCGTGATCCAAAACCGAACGGGGATTTTTGTGTGTTGTTGATGTTGCCGTTGTTGTTGCTGTTTTTTCTTCTTTCCTGTGGAGGTTGTTTTGAGTTGTGTTTTTTTTCTGTTGCACTAGATAGCTGATGCTGTTTGAGATAGGTTTTTAATTGATTTGTTTTGCTTTGCTATTGTAAAGGATGTTAACTGGAGGGGGGCCGGGGGGCTGTTCTCTGCCCCCGCCCCTTCCCCCAGTTGTGTACTGTACAGCAAATGTGCGGATTTATATAGAAACGAGTTTGTACAAAATGCAGTTCCTGTTGCGCGGAATCCCCAAATCCCGATGCAACACGAAAGCTGTGAAGATCACACCAGCGAGAGCTGTGAAAGAGCTCTCTGTGTGTGCGTGTGAGTATAAGGGTGATCCCTTGACTCTTCCCCCCTTGTTCTTACGATTTAGTTTTTCTTCATCGCAACTTTTTCGAAGGACCCACGTGTACTGATGGCTCTTCAAGTAGCTTGTCAACGGTAAGAATGCAAACGTCCGATACTCTGGAGTTCTGCAGAGTGCGAGGCGTGCGAAGGCAGCACTTTGCTCGAAAAGTAAAATAAAAACCAAGTTGTTCATTACTGTTACTTAAACTAAAGTGCCTCTATTTTATATATATTTTTATTTGTAGCTGGGAGAAAATTTGGTCGGATATGGTATTGTTAGGGAGTTGACTTTCAAAATGGAGGGTGGGAGAGAGTTCAGACTGGTCAAAAGGTTGCGTTAAAATGATTTGAGATGGGGGAGGGAGGAGAGAAAAACAATGCAGCGTGCTATAGAATAGGAATGCGCAGAAAGGGTGCCGTCGCTCACAAGGTTCAGTCTGGTCAGGGGATCTGCCCTGCATCTTAACAGATTTAGAGGGGCATCTAAAAATTCATCAGGTTCTTGATCTGCAGGATAAGTCCTGGGGAAAGGAAGGTGCCTTTTTTTCAGTGGCGTAGCGTGGGTTGCCAGTGCCCGGGGCCACACGGAGGGGTGGGAGGGCAGGAAAAGGATGGAGTGCGCTTGCGCATTCAACTGCGCAATGGCATCCGCGTCACCCAGCCACAGAAAAGAAGATTTGTTCCATTATCTGGAGAGGTCACTTCCTGGTTTGCATGAAGAAGCCGAGCCCTGTGACAAAAGCACACAGTTGTATTGAGGCAGCACCGGGTGTTGAAATTTTGCGCCTGGAGCAACCACCCCTGTGGGGGCTCCCCACGCTATGCCACTGCTTTTTTTTAACCTCTAGGACAATGGGATATTTCATTGGAGGAAGCAGGTTGTGTGGAACACCTTTGACCAACAACCATGTGTCCCAGCACAGACCACCATGATGGACTTGAGACATCCTGCAGTAGTTTGTTGCATTCTGAGAATCAAGACCCCCAATCTACTATTTCTGATTCTCCCAGTGGGCTCATCCATAAGTGCGTCAAACGCTGGAAAACCCAGCATTCCCCACTTCTGCCACGGGGGAGGGGGCGCTTTGTGCAGTCTGCAACTGTGCCCCCCGCCTACATACTGCAAAACGGCTTCCTGTAGCTGAACCTCAAACTTCTGATTGGAATAAGAATTGCCTCGTGCTAGCTTTCTTTGGGAGGGAGTTCAGTTGGGTCCGGCTCAATCGAAAGGAAAGTGCAAGGAAGCAATTTTGCCAAGTGCCTCCACCATTACACAAGCCGTGTCGCCGTCCCACTGGAAGCGAGGTCATTGGGGATGTGGCTGCAGGAATGGGGCATGCAAAGTGACTGTTGTGTCCCGAGCCTGTTCAGTCCAGCTGAGGACAAAGTCAGCGCCCTAAAGGAAGCTGTGTCAATCTTGGCATTGGTTTTGAAAGCTCGCCCATCGTGGTTGCAGCTGCTAGCACCACGTTCCCATTTAGGCTCAGAGTAGACCTGGGCTCGGTAGTCGAATCCACCACGATGACCTGTTGCAAAGTTGGGACTGTGAAGTCCTCTGGCGTTTATTGCATTAAAAACCACCCTTTCAGCCGGATCTTGACGGACTCTTGTCTGCGCTGTACAAAACATTGAAAGGTGAGTTTGTGTCTGTTACGCAGCCTGGGTTGCTGGATCTTCCGGGATTTCCAGGGATCCACGCTGAGCTGATTGCAGATCGGGGGAAGCAAGGGCACCGGTGGGAAATATTTCCTTGTGCTTCCAAAACCATTCTTGCTTTGCAACAAGCTTTGCTTGTTGGGCTACACTTGCCATTTCTTCTCGAGTTCTCATTTCCTAAACCATCTGCGTGCGGATGAAAATTCCATGTGCCATTTGTTGCAAACTTACATGTAGACTGGTGCTGGTGGACGTAGCCACTCTTGTGTTCTTGTTTTTCGTTTTATTTCCTCTCTGTGTCTCTCTCCTGGGTGTGTCATTCTAAAGATTTTTTTTCTTTCCAATTCATGCCAAAAAAAGAAAAGAGACAAAAAAGTGATAGTTTGTAAACTGAAGTATACTAATGTAGCTTAGTGGTAGCAAACCGTTTAGTGATTCCTAGGTGCAAGGATGTTTTTTAGCTAGCAGGAAATGCTGTGTATGTTATGAGACTGTACATTTTTCTTAAAAAACAGAAGAAGACGGCAATATGCAATAAAGACTGTACATAACAATATGTGTGTGGAGGCTTATTTCTGGAGTGTGTGGTTAAAATTTATAATTGTTGTTGTTTAGTCATGTCTGACTCTTCATGACCCCATGGACCAGAGCACGCCAGGCACTCCTGTCTTCCACTGCCTCCTGCAGCTTGGTCAAACTTGGGGAATAGATGTTGTTGAACTACGACTCCCAACAGCCCCAGGCAGCCTGACCAATGGGCAGGGGTCATGGGAACATTTGGAGGGCCACAAGCTCTGCCCCTCCCATTCTAGGGAAGAGCGTGTCTGAGAAAATTCCCAGTGGTTAGTGAGAAGTAGGGAGATAAGGCATAATCCCATGACTGTTCTGGTGTGGAAAGAAGCATTTGGGACCATTTAGTCCAAGTGTCATGGAATGGGCACAGAGAAATGGTGGGAGGAACCAGCTGGGGAACCCCCAAGGGAAGAAGGCTCAGAGCCAGGGAAGTAGTGATGGGACAATGATGAGTGGTCAGAGGGAGAAGAAAGAGAAGACTAGGAAGAGGAGGTATCAGAAGCTGAAGAGGTAACAGGTCTTAGTGAGCTGGGAGAGTCTGTGCCAGAGGACATTACAGAAGCAGAGGCTAGAAAGAGTGGCAGAGATGAGGCAGGCTGGTGAAGAGGCACGGGTGTCTCCACCTCCAGCTGCAACAAGCTCCCTTCCTCCAACTCCCAGTTCCAGAAGAGGCATGAAAAGAGCAGAGGATAAGTTAACTTCATGCAGGTGTAGTCTCGGGTTGCGTGGGGAAAACCTTGAGGAGGAGAGGACTTAGACAGTTGTGGGAAGTCAGGGACCTTCAGTCTCCACAGCTGCTTCATAGGGGCAAGACCTACTGAAGAAGAATGGTTGTTCTCATGAGGACTGCCACTCCTATGCAGACCCTGCTTCTTCTAATAGAGAGTTAACTCCACTTCATTTGATTTACTGCTGGCTCATTCCTGACACATCTTCAGTGCACGTGTGTGAGCATCCTTCCCTTACAAAGGTAAAATGCTTGTGGGTCCTCATCTGTCATGGATGCTTTGTTTGAGATTCCTGCATTTTAGGGCTTTGGACTAGCTCACCCTCAGAGTCCCTTCCAACTCTATGTTGCCAGTCCCACGATGGGTCTCGCACACACACACACACACACACACAAACAGGAGCAGATGATACATCAGTATACACAGGTGAACTAACAGTCATAACTTTCCCTCCAACCCAATCTGGATCCATCTGCCAGCATTTAAGCTGAGTCATCCAACATTATGCTGAGTAAACTAGCAGCCCACAAATGGCTGGGCAAATTGGTACACCGCAAGTCAGCACTGAAAAGAAAATGTGTTGCCTCTCGGCCATATCTTGAGGGCGTTCCACAAACGATGCCACCCGCCACCAAGTATTTTACACAGCGATCACCGTTGTGTGGAAAAAATAGTGAGGATGTAAAGTGTGAGTTGCCAACCTTTGAGGAACCAATGGGCAAAGTTGGAGGTTGTGAAAGTACTATGTCTGCCTTGACGGTGTGGCAGGAGGGCCTCCATGTTGGAGAGGCTGTGTCAGTGCAAACAGAAACTAAGCTGGAACAGCAAACAGTCTCTCACGCACTCTGAAATTACGAGGGGATTGTTACCTGATGTCTGGGACCGTGTTGAGGAGGGCTGGTAGGAGCCTCCCCCTCCCCCGATCCTGATTCTTCCCAGGAACCAGGAGGACAGCATAGATTTTGAACAGTGGTTTGCAGAGGGGCATAGTTCAGAAGGCAGAAGCTGGGAAATACTGGATGGGGAACAGCCAGCAGAAGAAACGCTGGAAGAGAGAGAGTTAAAAGATTCACAATCTCTGGATAGCATTCACCCCCCCTTCTCCAAAGTCACAGAGAGCTCAGAAAGTCTCAGAACAGAAAGTGCAGAATGCTCAGATTACAAGACGTAGGAGTGACGTAGATTAATAGGGACGGGGGGGTGAGCCTTAATTGGGAGCACCACCATTCTGGGTTGACGCTTTATTTTGCCCTTCGCTGTGTTTATTAAAGAAACCAGCTGGTAAGAATTCCTTTCATTTGATCTGCTCATTTACGGCCAGAGGGGAGGAAACCGATTCCCCGAAGCCTGACACCTGAGACCTTTTCACAGACGCCACAGGAGGTATTGGCGGAGCCACTGGTGCCCACAGATGCCATGTTGGCAACCCCTGAAAAATCTGAATGTGCGGCTTACATTCTTAACCACCTGTGCTTGTATGTGGCCACGTCAGGAGGGCTCAACAAAATGGTGCATCCAGCCCCAGAGGCTCAGCTGCTGCTGAAGATGAATTACCCATGAAAGAGAACCTGTGTGAAATTGCCCTGCACGTTTCAGGACAGCCGCAGATGGTTTCAGGCAGGCAAAACCTGCCTATGATGGGAGCTTTCTAAAGTACTCCTGGAAAGCTTGCAACAGGCTTAGGTGACGTCTTCTCCCAGCTGCGGCCTGATCAGATTTTTATGTCTTCCGCCGGAAGCTGTTTAGTCCTTGCGTTGTAAAGCTAACCAGTTTAAGATGTCTTCTTTATTTTCCCTTCCGCCCCTCTGTGACCCTGCACACAGTCGCACTGCGAGGGCTGCTAATTCGATTCAGCCCCTGGATCGTCTCACGGGAACCTATATTTGCTGGGGGGACGGGTAGTGATGTTGCTGGTTTGCAGGACGCGTGATCCCTGCACAAACTGCTGTTGCAAGAGCCAGCTGGGCTGGCTTATTTCGTAGGTCAGTTGGCAACCTTCTCCCATGCTTTGGGGCTGCATTTCACTCCAGTCCATGTCAATGAGCCAGGAACAATTTCCTCCTCCTTTTGAGGTTGCACATGCGGGCACATCAAACGACTCGATCCCTGGGAACACAGGAAACTTCCGTGCCCTGCCATTGGTCCAGGTAACTCATTCTTGTTTGCTGCAGGGCAGCTGGATCTGCTTGGAGAGAAAGATCCTCCTCTCCATGGGCCAAATTTGACAGGTGGGCAGAGCAATCCATCTATCAGCTACGATGGCATTAGAAGCCATTGGGCTTGGGAACGGCTTTTATTTTCTCTTTGGCTTTGCAAGCAGCCACGATCTAATCTGTATGGCCATAAATTCATCATACGCAGCCCCTGCCAAATCTACATCCCCAAGGCCCTTCCAGGAGAATTATTGTGTTTCTCCCAAGCGCAGACGCAGAAGAAGGTGTACATTAAAATCGGAGAGGATTTCCTCCACAACTTCCTTTAATTTCTCGGGAGAATCCTCCGTGTTGGTTGCAGAGCTTGGGAAGATTCCTTGACCACCCGCTTTCTTTTCCTCCTTTCTTTTTAAAAGAGACTAATTTAATCAAGATTGCGCAGAGATTCCTCCTATTGCATGGCGTGAAAAGCGGCAGCTCCATCTACTGGTTCAAAGTCTCCTTCCTTCGGCACTTTCACCTGTGCTGCTTGCATCTTTCTGGCGGTTGCTACATCAGAGTCCTTTTAATAATACCGAACAGATAGCTAACAAATCAGTGTGGGTCTCACTTTACAGATTAACATATGCAAAACAACGATACAACACACCACCCCAGAGTAAATTTAGACAGTGGAGTAAGTGGCAAAGTGGCTGTGGGTGGAAGTAGCATTTTTTTGTTTTCTATGAGAAATGTTGTGGCTCAGTGCTTAGGGCGTCTGCTTTAGGTTTTGCATGCAGACAGCTGCAGTTTCAAACCTTGGCATCTCCAGGTAGAGTTCCTTTCTGAAACCTTGGGCAGTCGCTGCCAGTCAGTGCAGACAATATTGAGCTAAAAGGCAGCTTCTTATGATTCTTGGAAGCAGAGCAAGTTGCTCAAAACAGGCAGGTGGTTGACTTCGCATGTTATCCTAAGGCAGTTCATAGTATGAGAATTACTGTATGGGACAAAAATAGCAAACAGGAAAGACCAACAAATTTTAGGCAGCAGGTTACTTTAAAAAAAAAGACACTTTAATAGATCCTTGCTGGTCAGGCACCCAAAAACATTTGGGAAACTCCTGCAAAAAATAAAGGAGTAAAAGCTTTGTGTTGTATGAGCAGTGCATGAGCAGTGGTCCAGCTCCGAGGGCTTTCTGGCAGTTCCTTCATTGAAAGAAGTGAAGTTATTTAGGCAGAGGGCCTTCTCAGCAGTGGCACCCTCCCTGTGGAATGCCCTCCCATCACATGTCAAGGAGATAAATAACTATACACTGGTACCTTGGGTTACATACGCTTCAGATTACAAACTCTGCTAACCCAGAAATAGTACCTCGGGTTAAGAACTTTGCTTCAGGATGAGAACAGAAATTGTGCTCTGGCGGCGCAGCAGCAGCAAGAGGCCCCATTAGCTAAAGTGGTGCTTCAGGTTAAGAACAGTTTCAGCTGAAGAACAGACCTCCGGAATGAATTAAGTACTTAACCCGAGGTACCACTGTACAACATTCTGAAGATATCTTAAGGCAGCCCTGTATTAGGAAGTTTTTAATGCTTGATATTTAGTTGTGTTTTTATATTATATTGGAAGTCACCCAGAGTGGCTGGGGCAACCCAGTCAAGATGGGCAAGGTGTAAATAATAAAGTATCATCATCATCATCATCCAAAACACTTCCTTAATAGTGAGCATCAGGCAGGCATCAGGTATTTAGGTAGGTGCCTGCTTCAAACTCACGTGGGCTTTCCATGATAACTGATCCAGCCATGTTAATGTATAAATCTGATCTTCCAATTTATGGTGCATTTTGTATTTGTGTTATGAATACAAATTTGCTGCTTTAATGCTGCTTGCCCCCATGGTAGCAATGGGGGTACAGATATAGGTCAATAGTGTGTCAAAGCAGCAAAAAAGGAAAAGAAAAGCTAATGCTAATCTAGGCTTCATAAACTGAAGTCTAGTACCGGGACGCGGGTGGCGCTGTGGGTAAAAGCCTCAGCGCCTAGGACTTGCCGATCGTCAGGTCGGCGGTTCAAATCCCCGCGGCGGGGTGAGCTCCCGTTGCTTGGTCCCAGCGCCTGCCAACCTAGCAGTTCGAAAGCACCCCCGGGTGCAAGTAGATAAATAGGGACCGCTTACTAGCGGGAAGGTAAACGGTGTTTCCGTGTGTTGCGCTGGCTCGCCAGATGCAGCTTGTCATGCTGGCCACGTGACCCGGAAGTGTCTGCGGACAGCGCTGGCCCCCGGCCTCTTAAGTGAGATAGGTGCACAACCCTAGAGTCGGACACGACTGGCCCGTACGGGCAGGGGTACCTTTACCTTTTTACCCTGATCAGGGGAAGTAATAGTACCACTATATTCTGCCTTGGTCAGACCACAACTGGAATACTGTGTCCAGTTCTGGGCACCACAGCTTAAGAAAGATATTGACAAGCTCTGTTTGACAAGCTCTATGTGCAGAGAAGAGCGACCAAGATGATCAAGGGTCTGGAAACCAAGCCTTCAAAGTTAGTTATGTTTAGCATGGAGAAGACGATATCTCTGAGAGGTGATCATAAAATAATAGAAGGGGTTCCAAGGGTCATCTAGTCCAACCCCTGCAATGCAGGAATCTCAGCTAAAGCATCCATGACAGGTGGCCATTCAACCTCTGCTTAAAAACCTCCAAGGAAGGAGAGTCCGTCACCTTCCGAGGGAGACCGTTCCACCATCAAACAGTTCTTACTGTCAGAAAGTTTTTCTTAATTGGGATCTCCTTTCTTGTAACTTGAAGCCATTGGTTTGAGTCCTAGCCTCCAGAGAAGGAGAAAACAAGCTTGCTCCCTCTTCCATGTGACAGCCCTTAAGATATCTGAAGATGGCTCTCATATCTCCTCTCAGTCTCCTCTTTTCCTGGCTAAACATACCCAGCTCCTTCAAGCGCTCCTGGTAAGGCTTAGTTTCCAGGCACTTAATCATCTTGGTTGCCCTCCTCTGCACATGTTCCAGCTTGTCAACATTTGAGAGCCATCTTCAAATATCTGAAGAGTTGTCATATGGAGGATGGAGCAAGCTTGTTTTCTGCTGCTCCAGAGGGTAGGAGCTGAACCAAAGGCTTCAGATAACAAGGAGATTCCAACTAAATATTAGGAAGAACATTCTGATGGTAAAAGTTAAAAGGTAAAGGTAAAGGTAAAGGACCCCTGGAAGGTTAAGTCCAGTCAAAGGGAACTGTGGGGTTGGGGTGGTCATCTCACTTCAGGCTAAGGGAGCCGGCGTTTGTCCACAGACAGCTTTCTGGGTCATGTAGCCAGCAGGACTAAACCGCTTCTGGCACAATGGGACACCGTGACAGAAACCAGAGTGCACAGAAACACTGTTTACCTTCCCTCCACAACAGTACCTAATTATCTACTCACCCTGGTATGCTTTTGAACTGCTAGGTTGGCAGGAGCTGGGACAGAGCAACAGAAGCTCACCCCGTCACAGGGATTCGAACCACTGACCAGCAAGCCCAAGACACTCAGTGGTTTAGACCACAATGCCACCCGCTAGCACAACGCCACCCGCTTGTGTATACTAGCTTATTGCACAAACATATAATCACATTGTTTCACCTACTTTTGCTTCTGGTTCCATCGACCACTGGTATATGTGGCCCCCAAAATCTTTTCCAGAGAGGAAAGTGGCCCCCAGGATGGAAAATGTTCCCTACTCCCTGTTGGAAGGAAATACTTTCTGCTCCTTTGCCGGGGGGGGGGAGGACCCCCAAGCACCTGCTTTATTTCTTCTCTCGCGAAATAAGGTAACATCACACTTACAAAAGATGATATACACATAGAGGGTCTTTGTATTTGTAACAATTTCACACAGAGTAGGGCAAACAGCTCAGTTAAGGCCTCTGGGGGAACACATGGAAATAACTTCTCCGCCAGCTGTGTCCTTGGAGCCACGGCACTGGCAGAATGGATCATGGGCTTTGGAGTCCCAGCTTTCACCTGAACCACAGCCCCACACACCTAGGCTCACCTGGCCGCAATACAGATCCGCCCCCTTCTTTTTAACTGCCCCCCAAATGTTCAGGGGGCGCAGCTGGGGCTTCTGCTTTTCTCCTAAGTGTGCTGAATATTGTGAGAGCCCTGCTGTTTGAGGCCAAGAGGCCAGCACTTGATTCTTATGGCTGCCAGACGGATGGCCACAGGAAGCTTGCAAGCAAGACCTGATTGCAACAGCACACTGCCCAGCTGCAATTCCCAGCAGCTGGCCTTTAGAGTCATACTGCCTCCAGCGGTGGCATGGGGACATAGAGCCATTGTAGCTAGCAGCCATGGATAGCCTCATCATCCATGGAAGCGGGATGCAAAAGGTTCATGGTTTTTGTAGGGCAGTGGGGGTGATAAGCACTGAAACAGGTCAGCTGTGACGAGAATGGGACATCCTGCCAGTCACAAGTGACAACCTCACCTGCTAATGCAACAAGGACACCAGCAGAGCTGCCTGCCTCCACACCTAGTGCCTCTTGTGATTGCAAAAAAAATGGGGGGGGGTGTAGAGACTGGCACAACAGACCCCTAAGGAGCATCGTAGCAGCCCAAGAGGGAACCAGCCCCTTTGCAATGCTCTGCTTTCTGGTCTTTTTAATGTAAGATGTTTTAATGCGCCAAGTTGGGGGAGGCTGTGCTCAAACCTTCCACGCTTGCTATTCAAACAGCTTGGTGCGCTCTCTCACTGCTGCCGGGGTGGTGGTGTCTAGCCAGGTTTTTTGTCCCTGCTGATGCCTCCTGGGGGTCGCCTTTAAGGTTCCCAGCCTATGTGTTTGTGTACACAAATGTGCATGGCGGGGGGGGAGTCAAACGGGATCTTTGACCTGGGTGAAATAAAGCCTTTTTTCGCCCCTGCACACAAACACACACCCCTTTTCTCTCTTACCTCCATAATTTATTTTTTATACCCCGCCCAACTGGCTGGGTTTCCCCTGCCACTCTGGGGGACTTCCAACAGAATATTAAACAGAATAAAACATGAAACATTTAAAACTTCCCTAAACACCTTAACACTCATCAAGGACCTGCCTCACCCAGGGAGAAGGACTTGATGAGGTGTCACAGCAAGGTCAGCGAGGGGCATAGCTTCCTGAGCGGAGGGCCAGGAGAGTCGCATGTGGCCCTCAGTTCCTCACCTCTGCCCTCAAGCAAACTCTGCTCACTTTCTGTCCCTTCAGCTCAGTGCTGGGCTCCTGATGAGGCTCAGCCAGTTTCTTACACACCTTTTAATTCCCATGTCCCAAGGACACAGAAAGAAGCAGCACCCACATCCCCTTTCTTAAAACAGCTGCAGCGATTTTACAGATCAGCCAAGGGAATAGTTGGGCTTGTCTGGACTCCCTCCCATCCTGCTGCTTCTCCCACCTGCTTCCAGGGGGGAAAATGCTCTTTAGAGCGAAGTCGGAGCAAATGGCAATTTGGGCTTTCTCCAGATTGATGTTTGCCCAGGCCCATGCCTAGAAATCTGCTCAGACCCATGTTTTCTAGGCACAGGGCAAGAGAAAGAGTGGACGAGCCCAGAGACTGATTGGGAAAGTCCTGGGTTTCAAAAAAAAGACACAGGATTCACAGTGGCGCCTTTGATTCACAGCACATCCTTCCAGTCTCTGTAACGATGTTCCAGATGTGATGAAGAGGCTTCTGAGCCTTGGCTTTCTCAGCCTTGCCATTAGGCCAGCTGTGGTCCACCCCTGACAATGTTTCACAGGCTGGTATCGGCAGCGCCCGTTTTTCCTTGCTGCAAGCCGCCTTCGGAAGCAGTGTCTGGCCACCCATCCCGGCAGAAGAGCAGCGCCGGGTTCCGGCAGGCCCACACCCCCAATTCCCCTCCGCTGGCCGGGCTGGAGGAGGTGAGGGTGCTCCCCACGGTGCCTCCGCTCCCATGGCTGGCGTAATGCTCCGCCCGGCTCTTGCCCTCCAGGCGGCGGCCTTGGGTGGCAGCCAGCGCCACCGCAGCCACATTGCCCCTTGTCCTGTACCCCCCTTCCCGGTTGCGCCCAAGCAGCATGGCGATGTTGGGGTTCCGGGCGGCGTAGATGAGGGGGTTGATGGCTCCGTTGGCCCAGGCCATCCAGCAGGCCACAGTGTCCACAGCGGGCGAGAAGGAGACGTGGCCCGTGGCGGCGGCCAGGCCCAGGACGCAGTAGGGGCCCCAGCAGCAGATGATGGAGACGATCATGATGAGGACCGTGGTGGCTGTCCGCATCTCCCCGTAGTAGCGCAGCAGGTGCCCGTAGGTGGTGAGGGGGCGCACCCTGCTCTCCGAGCGCCGAACTGCCCGGCAGATGTTGTAGTGGCAGAAGCACATGAGGGCGAAGGGCAGCAGGTAGCACAGGACGATCAGTGCGGCGCCGTAGGGGGGACCCAGGCGCGAGGACCCCCAGGGCAGGGCATACATGCAGTGGTAGGCCTCCGGCCCCGCTTCCTCCTCCTCTTCCTCGTCTTCCCTCCGGCCCAGCAGGTACCAGGGCCCCGAGAAGCCCAGCGCGGCCAGCCAGACGGCGGCCAGCAGCTGCGCGGCCCTCCGACGGCCCATTTTGCGCCTGGGCTGGCGCACGATGGCGCAGTAGCGGTCGAAGGAGAGCAGCGCCATGGTGAGCGTGGCGGCGATGCCCAGGCCGGCGTGCGCGGCGGCGCTGGCCAGGCAGAGGCGCGGCCCGAAGAGCCAAGCCCCGTGGGGGCGCCCGCTGAGCAGGCTGGCCAAGGCGGGCGGCAGGCACAGCGCGGCGCCCAGCAGCTCCGACAGCGACAGCGACAGCACGAAGGCGTTGGTGACCGTGCGCAGAGGCCGGTGCCGCGCGATCACCACCACCACGGCGCCGTTGCCCAGCGCCGACAGCGCGAAGATCAGCAGCAGCAGCAGCGCCTGCGACGCCAGCGACGCCCCGGACCAGCCCCACGCCGCGTCCGCCTCCGACGGGGCCTCCGGCACAGGCACCTGGCCGCCGCCGCTCTCGTTGCGCCCCGGCGCCGAGCCGTTGATCAGGAGCAGCAGCGCGGATCCCTCCATGGCCAGGCGCCTTCCCGGCCCCGAGAGGGAGACCGGCGGCTCCGTGGAGCGGGAGAGGCGCGCTCCGGCCGGCCCGAGGTCCCGGGGGTGACTTAAGGCGCACTTGGAGAGCCCCGGGCGCAAAGCTCCATCTGGGGACTCTGCCCTCTGCTCCTCACCCGCGCGTCTGGTCTGGCCACCGGCGCCAAAGGCAGCTGGAGGCGCCGGCCTTTGGGATCGTTGCCCGGGGACGCTCCTTGGGTGGCGCAGCCTCCGCTTGCCGCAGAGGCGCGGGATTGCTTCGGCGCTCGCTGCGCGCCCGGCACATCTCTCGCTCTCTGCCGCGTGGCAGAGAAACCTTCGGGGGCTCGGGGAGCCGCTGACGTCTCCGCAGTCGGTTGCCCCGGGAAACCACGATGGCGCACACGCCGGAGAAGCAGGCAGCCGCGACGACCCCATTCTCTCCCCCGCCCGCCCCAAACGCCCTTCTGGCCCCTTCTTTTCTTCCGAAAAAGGACAAGCCGCCGTGCGGACGGGTCCACGCATTTCTTCCTGGACGGCTGCCTCCTTCATGAGCTGCTTCCCGACAGCGCAGCTTCTCGCCCGTTGCGGCATCTTTTTGGATTTCTGCGCATCGCGAGGGAGGGGGCGTTTGCTGTGCCAGGCAAGCGCGCAGGGGTCAAGTGTGCAGATCCTTGCGGATGGGCGAGAAAGGAGACGTTGTAAGATCGGGCAGCAGGCAGGGCAGAGATTTTAAAGGGCTCCTGCGCTGTTTCGAGTTGCCACCTGTTAGAGGCTCAAGAATACAAACAGCGCCCGACACACGGAAAAGGAGGGAAGCCTCGCCATCAGGTTCCCTCTCTGCTAGGAAAAGCATTCCTTCTTGCAGACCTTGGGAGAAAGGTGACACGCAAAAACTAGATGGAGCAAGGCCACTGATTCATCCAAGTCAGCGGAAGCAGTTTTCACTCCCTTGGATAACCATGTCAATAACCATGTCAAGTGAGGGGTGGGGGCAGACCAAGGGATGCGATTCCTAACTTTTGTTCGGAATCTAACGAATAGCATTTGTTCAGTAGGCTAGGCCAAGTCCAGCCACATACATCCAGAGGTCTTAATGCACGCACACTCATTTCTTTGTCCAGGAAAGTTCAGTCTACAGCAACCCAAAAAGCACTTGAGGGGTGCAGTCTGGGGAGAGGATGGAGGCTGCCAACAGTCCCAATGGCGAGATACAGAGGAGTGAAGGGACATATTTTGGCCTCCAGGCCTGGGGTTCACCACTGCTGCTCAGCCCTGGGTGACCAAATGCAGCATTTTGTGAAGAGGCAAGTTAAAGCAGTGCAGCTTTTTTTCTTACCATTGCACAACTGGAGCTGCCAGTCTCCATGTGCAGTTTGCCAGGGCCCCCCATTTTTCCACGCAGACAATAGTTAGAATGATGGGAGCTGCAGTTCAGCAACAGCAGCAGGTTCCCCACTCCTGTTCTAAGCCAAACAGTCCATCAACTTTTACTTGCCATGGCACATAGCTCAGAAATGCAATGATGGTCATCATAAGGACATGTGGCTGAGCAGGTTTGCTATTAATTAAACAGGGCTCTGAGGTCAATGAAACTATTCCAGCACTTTGGGTACAAAGGATTTTCTCAAGCTGAAGACTTCAAAGTGTTCTGAATAATTCATGCAACCCACACTTGGGAAGATGCTATCCTGATATGAAGTACCAAACAGTGCAATGATAGAGGTGTATGTCTCAGCTGTTCCTTCTTAAACAGGTTTTTGGGGATATTCAGAGAAACATGCAAAAATCTATTTAACCAGACATACAGCAGGACACCCTAGGTAAGAATGGCTGCATCATACTATTTTCAAACCAAACTGTTTTTGTCTCCAACGAAGGTCACAACCTAAATCAGTTGCCCTTGACAAGTCTTAAAGAGGCGATGTTTAATTTTTTATTATAGATAGAAAGCATAGTATCATGACATAATTCTTTAATTTTATTTTACAAGGTGGGGCTGCAGCATGCTTAGTATTCCACTTAAAAACAAAAAGCCCTAAGTGGTTTTTACATAAGATAATATAAAATATTAACTAAAATACTGATAAATTTAAATGTTAAAACTAAAGCACATTTTAAATGAAGCTTGTGGTGCGGAAGTCATACCTTCTTCCTCTTTTGAGAATCAGGATTCCAGAGCTTGACTTATTGCTAGAGTCTGTTACATGAAATAAAGAACTTATAACAGGTTCTTTAATCAGGTGCCTGTTGATATCCCAGGAACGTCACACAAAGAAGGGAAATGTTAAAGTATTGCGTTCACACATTTGCACCTGCACTGCAGCATTACAGAAAAGGTTAAAGAAGTCCAGCAATGAAAGCAGCATAAAGAGACATAACAGCCATCAAAAAGCTCTAAGAAATGTAACATACAAATTCTGTAGCACTTTGAATATAAAAATGGCCAGCTGCAGGGGTTATTTCGCAGTCTTGTTCATTAGGGTACTGCATTCACTTCAGGCAGGACACAAATCAGAGGTAGGACCCTCACCTTTGAAAAAATCAAACTTGGAATTTGAAGCAGCTTGGCTCCAAAACTGCGGCAGCCAAAACAAGCTGGCTTCGGAACAGTTTTGAAGCCTTCAGAGGTCTTCTAAGTTGCTGTTTTTAACTAGTTTGACATGTTTTTACAAAGTCACGCAAGTTGAAATTGAAAGTGCCAAGCAGACAGGAGGGGAACATGTAGGTGTTTCAAGGATAATCAGAGTATTTGGTCAAGAAGGTGCAACACTACCCAGATAAAACTTGTGGGGTTATACAGGTATGCCCAAGCTCTGATCTCAAGGGTTGGAGGCTAATGGCAAAGACACGTTCAACACCCCCCCCAAGAGAATCTCCCACATAAATGAGCTTTCATTTTATTCTTTATCAGACCAGACCAGGTGAATGAGCCTGTGGGTTTGGAGAAAGGGGAAGAAACCTCCATCCCTTACCTGCTTATCAATCTTGACCAGCCTACTGCTAGTAACAGGAACAAGCATTTATATATGTATCTTGGTAATCTTTACAACTTTGTAAAGCATGTCAGTATTATCATCTCCCTACTGAAGATGGGAAGGGCGTAGACTCACAGTTCAGTCTTAAGTCATAGTGCCACACTATCTCCTATTACATTTTATATACAGACAAGGAGCTTCAGAACCACTTTGGTGAAACTGAATGAGAGCATTAATCACCAGTAAGATAGAAGGTAATGCCAGCAATTAAAAGAAAGCAAAATACACATATCAAAGTAAACAGGGTTATTGGAAGCAGCATAGTAGCACAGTCACTTAAGAAAGAAACCGTATTTCAGTGGGTCCTCCTCCTCAAAAGTGAAGGTTGACATTCCAGTATAAAAGGATTCTCCAGAGACTTCTACAATAACAGCATTGTGGTCACCACATTTGGTTTCCTGGGTCAAAAGAAAATGCTTCAGATTAATTAGGAATAATACACTGGTATACTTACAGCACAAACATTTGTAGGCAGCATCTGAATACATGTGATGATGTATACATCTAAACTAAAGTGACAATGAAAGAAAAGAACTGAATATAAAGCCAGTATTTAAGGCTTAAATTGTTTACATTATGTTTTAAGCAAAAGTGAGACAATTTACTAAAAGTAATGAAAACCATTAATCATTTGGTCCTAATTAATATAATGGCATCTTATAAAAAGATCAGATTTTCTTGGCTTGCTGAGAGCATTTCATCCACAAATGAAGTAACCCTACTCACTTGTGAATGTAGGAAGAATTCAAGCTATCTGATTAAACAAGACCCAGGGCACAGCAAAGCCACCAGTCCATCACATACTTTTTATTTTTCTAAATTACCAAAGATAAATGTTTGGAGCTTGCCTTTATTGCTTTTCCAGTGAACAGGGAACCAGTTGTACTGCTTCTGAAGGTCCTGGTCTGGTTCAGCTGAATGAGTCCTTTATGGTATTGTAGAGCAATGCGAGCTGTCACACCCGACCCGGTAGGACTTCGGTCAACCTAGTTTGGAGAGAAGCAGACGTGTTTTAGCTGCATCATTCAGAAATGCAACAAATGTAATTAACGACTTTTACTTTTTTAAAAGGTGCACGTGCCTGAATTATGCTATTCAATATTAAAGAGAGAAAGTGGGCATGTGCACTCAGAAGCTTAAAAGCTACCTAGAACAAATTTTCCCAACCTTTTTCTGACTGTGGCCCCCTTCTGACTTTCCTTCCTGTCTCTCCCCATGGGCATAGCCAAGGGGGGGCAGGGGACAATTGCCCTCCCTCAATAATTAAAAATCAATACAAATCTGAGTTTCTGCCCCCCCTAACAAAAACCTGCCCCCCTAACAAAAATCCTGGCTATGCCCATGCCCCCTCCCCGTCCTATTGGTAGAAAGGTAGCTCTTTAAATATTTTGTTTGTACAATTACATAGAATGATAGGAACATAATGAAATATTGTTGAAGCAGAAAAACATAGAATCATGGAGCTGAAAGGAACCCCAAGGGTCATCTTTCTAGTCCAACCCCCTGTAATGAAAGAAACTCAGCTAAAGCATCCATGACAGGTGGCCATCCAACCTCTGCTTAGAAACCTCCAAGGAAGAGTGCAGAACCTCCTGAGGGAGATCCATCTTCCATGTACTATAAAAAGTAAGCAACACTTATTTGACCCGTTATTTGACACAGAGGGGAAAACCTACAGATACAGTCCAAAAGGCACACAGGGAGTTCTGTATATATGGGAGAATTTTAAAAAGCAAGTGATCCTCACTCACCTGGTGCAAAAAGTTGGAAGTTGCCTAGCTCCACAACAGAAGCCTAGTCTTTCTTTTTTCCTGGCCAAGATGGTAGATACATTTCCCCATCAAGCATCATCTGGGTCAATTTGTCAGGCCAGGAAATATTTTGTTTCTTTCTCGATTCACTTAATTTGTCAATCAGATCTTGGGCTTTGTTACTCAGTTCTATGTTCCTAGCTCTATACAGCTCCTAGAGTCTCTCAGAATTTAAGAGCTGTATACAGCAAGGAATGCAGACTTTAGCATCCTACAGATATGCTGCCTTTTCCTTTTCTCTACTACAAATATAAATTGGGAACCCCTGTGATGAAAAGGGTCAAGGTGGAACTTCTCTTGCACAGTATTCTCTACCTGTGCATCTGCAAACACACATATGTTGCTTGTTGGTTCATCACTAAATGCATCTTTCCCATCTGTCAGGATAGTCCCATAAATGAAAGCTGTGTCTTCAATCTCAGGATGGTGAACTTTGAACTAGAAGAAAACAGAAAATGGCATCAGATAAATGCAACAAAATAGCAATAATATAATAAGGACCTCACAAACTATGTGCTCATCTAGTATTATTATTAAGAGGATGTGCAGCTCAGGAGAAGGAATTGACAGTCTCTTTGTAGTAGTGGAACCACGTGCTTAAAGACCATCTAGATCCCATTGCTCCTAGCTAGCAAAGCCAATGGTCAACAGTGATCATAATTGCAGTCCAAAACATCTATAGGGTGCCATGTTGGCTACCCCTGGTCCAGGGGGTACAATATGCATTTAGGCCAAGTTTGTACAGATGTCAGGAGGCTGCTGGACTTATTTTCAGTAACCTCCCAATGAGAAAACAGCAGCTTCCATGGAATTATCATTGAGGATATCACAGTTTAGTTTCTGCTGGAGACTTTTCTTGGATTTCTCTCTCTCTCTCTCTCTCTCTCTCTCTCTCTCTCTCTCTCACACACACACACACACACACACACACACACACACCGCCTTCTCCCTAGCACTGAACACCCCAGTTCCCACTCTCAATTGCTCCAAAGCATCTCACTATATGAACAGCAAATGACTTTTAGATACTGAAGAGTGGACAAGACTGCATAAATCTGTTTCTAAGACAAAGCTAGTCAAAGTGATTTCTGTCTAACAAAATAATGCATACGTTATATTGACAGGATTATGGAAAAAGATTAGCTGCCCACAAAAAACAGGACTTTGATATTTTTTAACAATCAATGCATGATTTGCATCAGCTCCATTTAGAAGAGAGAAACCGCAGTCACAATATTATGCAGTCTGCCAATCAGGCTTGTAAACAGTAACTTGGTAATCTATGGCAAGGAAGACTTGCTTGCAAGTGAACTTGCAGAGAGGCATAACAACACTGGTTTTCTTTTGTTTTACGTTACAAATAACTAATATAGGCAATATATGAACAAGTAACTTAGTAATTTAAAGACATTTAACTCATAGATTTATTTACAAATATAGAAATAATTTACCGTATTTTTCGTTCTATAAGATGCACCAGACCATAAGACGCACCTAGTTTTTGGAAGAGGAAAACAAGAAAAAAAAATATTCTGAAGCCAGAACAGCAAGAGGGATCGCTGCGCAGCGAAAGCAGCGATCCCTCTTGCTGCTGTGGCTTCTGGGATAGCTGTGCAGCCTGCATTCGCTCCATAAGATGCACACACATTTCCCCTTACTTTTTAGGAGGGAAAAAGTGAGTCTTATAGAGCAAAAAAATACAGTAGTTATATTGTACAATACAGAAAAATGTGACTATACCTGAGCCTTTACTGCTTCAGTTACTGCAGATGCTGCATCTACTAGATCCCTAATCCTTGAAGAAGAAAGATCAAGTCCCAATCGATCAGCACTGACAAATGCATAGAAAGTGCCACCATATCCAACATCCACAACCACTTTTCCATAGCCAGGAACATCAACTGTTAAATCTAATAATGAAGAAAAGGACAAGGCATTACTGCAAATAATTTACATTTTCCCTCTGTAATCTGTTCTGACATCCACTCACCCCAAAAAATAGTGCCTATCTACCTATTATGGTGTCAGTAATATCAGTTAAGAATGCTGAAAAGCAGTCTGGTAACTAAAGACTAAGGGAGCAATGCAAACCTCTGATCTGCTGGGAAGAGCGAGGTATCTGGTTCAACCAGCCTATGCTGGCATAAGCACATTCCAGCTCATCCTGAGAGATGCCAGCATAACTCCATCAGGACAGCATAGCTGGCTGAGACCTATGGCAGCAGAAACCCTGAAGAATGGGTGTTCTGGGGGAGAGACTGGACAGGGGGACTTATATCGGGGGACTGTATCCTAATCTGGCAACCAGCAGAATTTACACTGGAAAAACGGTGGAATAAATCAATCTCTATAAAGGTTTGTCTTTCCTCTACCAGGCTTAGGCCAATTCAGGCAGTTAGTAGCCTTGTTACTGAACAGCATGGAATAGGGGTGATTTATGCCAGCTTAGTTTAAACAGGTTTATATTCTGGCTTCCTATAGTTAGGTCTGCTCCTTAAGAGTAATTAACCGAGCACCAGTCATCAGAACATTTTTACCATCCTGCAAATTAACATACAACTTCTTTTTCAGGCAGCACAACAGACACAGAAACAATTAGGATCCCCCCAGTAACTTAAAGACTATTATTTGAAACAAGTGGAACAACATTGTGCTATTACAATTGTTCTGTCTGTGCAAGCATTGCTTGTTATATGGAATGATCTCCCCTCCCCCTCCCCCCACCGTGTTGTTCTGGGGTTCTCCCTACCTGCAAGAACTGATGGGGACACAGAGGGCATGCAGAAGACCAGGGGGAAGCCCTGTTGTGCTAAGATGACTTGTGCTGGTTCCCAGTAGCACGACTATTTATTTAGACTATTTATTTAGTTGAATCTGGCCCAATATATCCTTGCCTCCTACCAGGAGAGCTCCTGTTCAAGGTTCCAGCCAGTTACTCTCTTCTTTAGCATAGTCCATTTCATTCCTCTCCCTTTTCTTTTTCAACCAATGATCAACACTGCATGACTACAGAGCATGACTTCACTGGGCATGCACTGGGCTAATAGGGGGGTGTTATTTATTTTTAAAAATAAACTGCAAACATAGTGTCTCAGACAACAAAACGTACAGTTCACTAGAACATTCATGAAAGGAAGTGTCGTGCAGATAGGTGTTCTTTCCAAGATGCAAAGTTAGAGCCTGGGGAATAGCAGAAAAGAAGGTTAGTCATATTTGTCGATTATCTAGCATGCAGGGTCAGAATAATAAAAAGAAGCATATTCCTACAAACCTGACCTGACACCTACTTTTTGTGCAAATCTACACATTTATGAGCCTTGTTATCAGTTAAAATTGAACTACTGTGGTTTCCCAAAAAGGATCCTGGGAATTTTAACTTTAGAGAGGATACCAAGAATTATATTAGAAGTTCCTGCCCACACCCGCCTTCACAGAACTATAGCTTTCAAGATTCCTTGGGGAAACCAAGCTTTTATTTTAAGTCTTAATGGAGGCAAGTCATTTGCTATTGCGGAACTATTCAGACCACGAGAGAATTCATGACTTCATTTAGATTCTCCCCACAACTGGGAACTAAATAAGAAGTTCATTCTAAATTTCTCCTACCAGTTATGGGATTGTGCGGTCAGAATTTAGGAGAAAATGTGGTTTAAAAAAAAGAGGATCCCATTTAATTAAAGCTAATTGTCATTTTATGTTACAGGTAGGTAGCCGTGTTGGGTCTTCCGTAGTCAAAACAAAATTTAAAAAATTCCTTCCAGTAGCACCTTAGAGACCAACTAGGTTTGTTATTTTATGAATTGTGCAATTAACTTGCTGATTCATGCAAGAAGAAAATGATACTTGATCTCCATCTCCACTCAGTGTGATAAAAAAGTAGTTAAGTGCTTCATACCACCCAGGGCTCCTTTGGCACAGAGGGTGGGCTATAAATTAAATAAATAAAAATAAAACAAATAACGCTAGTGAACAAAATATACCTGAAACCACAGCAAGGCAATTATGTATGGAAACAGAGGGGAAGCCCACTTTAGGTAGAAAGTAGAGCATGATGTACCTGTAGCTGTAACAGTGGAATGAGAAAATGACCTGCCTTGCAAATCAAGGAAAGCCACACAATGGCTTTCTGGGACTACATGATAATGGTGGCTCCCAGAGATGATCTCACACCCACTTTGCTTCTCGTCAGGTCCTGTAACTCAGTGCAGTGCAAATCAAGGTTTGACTTAGCATGTTGTCCAAACCCAGGATTGTGGATAAGCTCTCTCTCCTTAACCATGATCTGTAGCCAACAACAAACCTTAAGGAGAGAGTTTAACCAAGATCCCAATGACTGAGGAGGGGAAAAGTGAGCTCTTACCTGGGAGCCAGTGTGTTTGCACTAAACCATAGTTTGGTAATGTGAAAATGCGGCCAATGCAGATGTACCTAGTAGCCAATAAATATGACAGAACAAATGGCCAAGACATTTGATCGACCTACAATATAAGTTGGATATATGCTATATGTCAATTTATGGACCTAATAGGTATCTAAAGCTATTTGCCACTGTTCTTGTATGTAGGTTTTATTATATTTGTTTTTTTATCTTATATTTTGGAAATGTACATCCAGATTTTTTTGTCCTTTACATTTTTGGGGGGCCCCCCAGGAGAGTGGGGCCCGAAGCTGTAGGTACTTAGCTTGTAAGTAAATCCGGCACTGCCCCTTCCAGCATGTAAGATCCTATGATTCTATGTTTCACCCACATGCTTTTGGAGAGGATCCCTAACTTGGCAGAGGGAGATGCCCTGAAACACAGGACAAAAGCGCGTCCATACAGGACGCAGCGTTTGACATGGAAAGACGGGACAGTCCAGGCGGCAACGCTGCCCCCTACCGGTGGCGGCGGCGAAGGCGGCGACGCTGTGGAAGCGGACTCGGCTGCCGCTGCGCTGGCCGTCCCAGCTGGCGAAGGCGGTGACGGGCCCGCAGGGGCAGTGGATGACGACGGCGGCGGCGGCGGCCTGGTCGGGCCCCGGAGGCGGCGGCGGGCAGAGCCCGTAGTCGAGGGCGAAGCGGGCGAGGCAGAGGACGGCGTGGCCGCACATGGCGCTGCCGCCCTCGTTGTGCACGAAGAGAGCCCCGAAGGCGGCGCCCGGCAGCTCGCTGGGCACCAGCGCCGCCCCGTACATGTCGCGGTGCCCGCGGGGCTCGTGCATCAGCAGCCGCCGGGCCGCGTCCAGCTCCGGGAGCTCCAGGAGGAGGCGGCGGCGGGCCAGCAGGGGAAGGTCCCGGGGGGGCTCCAAGGGGCCCAGGCCGCCCGGAGGAACCACCCGCAGCGGCTCCCCGCCCGCCTGCATCTCCACCGTGAGGAAAACGGGGGAGCCGGGCGCGCGGGGAGGGAGAGGTCGGGAGGGCCCGGCTTGGGCCTCAGGCGACGCCATGGCCGTTTAACGGTTTTTTACCTCACGCTGGTTTATAACGGACGCCACCCGCCCAGGCCCCGCCCTCCGAGCAGGCATTGGCTGAGGGAGAGGAAGGGCGGGGAGAGCTTGTCCGTTTATGGGCCGTTGGCTAAGCCTGTCAGAGGCGCACGCCCGGGATTGGTGAGAGAAGGCGACCGTCACCGCCCACTGACGCACACCGAACGGGCATTGGCTGAGGGAAGTGCCCGTTTAAAGCCTTTTGCGACGGGCTGGTCAGGTTCGCCTGTCCAGGATTGGTCTGAGGGGCAAAGGCGGCAAAGCTGCAGGAGGCGTAAACATAGAGAAAGATATAGAGTCACGTGCACCTAATTGAATTTTTTTGTGAACCTTCCAGGTTCGCTTCCATATGCTTCGCCCATTTTTCTTCTGACGCCGTGGCGTCTATTTAATTTATATGAAAAAGATTATATCTTGTTTTTTTAAAAAAAATATTACCACAGCTGGACTCCTTAAACTGCTTATAAATGAAGAATTTAACAAGGATCTAGGACCTGACCGCTTCCTGAGAAATCACATCAGGCGGCGTTCTCCTCATAGAAATGCTGCGGCCCCAGTGCATCTACAGAGTGGCGCCGCTCTTCATTTTTCTAGCTCTACTATGAAAAAGAGCCGAACATAATAGACCACGCCCCCTCCCCGTTCAGTCTCAGTGCCCAATGAAGAGAGGAGCTTAGTCCGAGTCACGCCCCGCTCGCCACCCAGAGGAGGTCCCGAACGCGACCGCCCCGCCTATCGGGGGCGTGGCTATGTGAAGCCGACAAACCAATCAACGAGGACTGGCGGAACCTGAGAGGAAGTGACGCAAAGCCAGCTGCTGTCGCTGTCAAGAACCCGGATGATTTTGGGGGTGAATAGGCGGAGATGGGTGAGTTTTGGGTGCTGAGTTTATTACCTTTCCCCAGGTGAGAGGGGCTGTTTCTTCCTGCAGCTGACCAGGCCGGTTTCTTAGCTGCAAAAGCAAGCAGCCTTCCAGTATCCTAAATTTAGGATAGCTAGATACCTAGATAATATAAATATAATTCTTTATATAATGTTATAGGAGAGGGAGGGTTGGGAAGAGATATTTGTTGCCTGTCAGCTTTCGTGGGCTAAAGCGAGGAAACGTTGCCCTCAAGGGGGGGGGAGATGCTGCAACTCCCCTCATCCCTGGTCCTGCTGGCCAGGGCGGCAGAAGTCCAACAGCATGGGGGGAACCGAAGTTGGGACAGGCTGAGTTCTAAGTTCCTGGAGGGGAACCTGTGACCTTTTAAATTTAGCATTCCAACTCGTCAGCTGGCACACTGAATGGCTGTGGATGATGGGAGTTGCAGTTCAGCAACATGGGGGAGCTGCTCTTGCAGCAACAGGAATAGTAATAATTGATGGTGATGATAATGATGACGACGACAACTTATGAGCCCATAAGAAGCCCATAAGGGTAGGGTATAAAGGCTGTAAAGAAACATCTTTTATGGCCCAGGTTTCTCTCCCCTTTCCTGTAGATAGGAACCCCCCCCCCCCCGATCTCAGATTTTCTGTGTCAGATGACAGCACTTCTAAACATTCCCTTTCTCTGATGTTGGAATAGTTTTGAAGCGGAAGCTGTTGCATGTCTGCTTTCCTGGTTCTGCGTTCCGTGATTAGGGGGCAAAAGCTAACTGAAAGCTAGTAAAGCAAGATGTTTGAAGGTATTTGTGTGCAAACTGTTATTTTTATTTTTAAAATGTATTTATTTTTATTATTATTATTAAATATAATAAAAATAAATAATAAAACATCATTATTATATTATTAAAGATTTATTGGTTTACAAAAGTATGTGCAATGTCTCTTTTTTTCAAGTGTGCAAACTGTTATTAACTTACAAATATCTGCCACTCTTTTGGCCTTTTTATCTTTTGTATAAGTTGTAGATATTCAGCCAGATTGCCTTGGGCTTTATTGTGGAAGAACAGCGGAATTTATAAACGGGACTGAAATCCATGGCGAATGTGGGGTAAGTAGAGGATTGTGAAAAGACACTTGAGTATTTGAAGCTGGCGCAGTATAATGTTTTAGCTGCTATTATCCAACCATTAGTGGGTTTGGCTGGGGAAAGGATGGCCTGAACACATCTTGGGCTCAACGAAACTGCTTGTCCTTCAAATACAGCACATTATTCAGTCCCTTTCATTTGTCTGCATCCCTTTCCCAAGCTATTTTGTGTGTGTGTGCAAAACGTTAATAGATATCTTTATAAAACAATATGTGATTAAACTCTCCAGGTGTGTCCAAGAGGGCAAAGGACAGATGCTCACAAAATCTGTCGGCCATGTATGGGATCTCCAGAACGCTATGATTGGCTTTACCTTGGCTTTATGGCAATGCTTCCTCTGATTTTGCATTGGTTCTTCATTGAATGGTATTCAGGGAAAAAGAGGTAAATGTTTCCAAAGCCCTGTTTCAAACAAGAAACCGAATGTAACTTTTGAATCTAAATGTGCACTTACCTTGCCATTGAAGGTGCTGGGGAGGAACCAACTACTCTGCAAGTTGGAGGATTGTTTACCTGGCTTTGGGAAGGCAGCACAAGGGCTCTGGGATGCTAACAGCCCTCATGCCTCCTTCCCTAATTTGGGTGTCTCGCTTACCTGGCTTTGGGAGGGTGGTGAGAGGGCTGTGGGATGCTACCAGAGCCTTTGCGCTGCCTTCCCAAAGCTAGGTATACCCACGATCAGAGTTGTGCATGGGTGAGACAGTGGGAATAAATAAATGGAGTGGGTTTCTTCTGCTCTTCTTTTATTTATTCTCTCCCACCCACTCAAAGCTACAATTGCACAAGTCTAATAAGATACAAATTACCTTTCCTGAGTCCGATTCTTTTCCCCCTTTCCAGCTCCAGTGCTCTGTTCCAGCACATCACTGCTTTAATCGAATGCAGCGTGGCAGCCATCGTTACTCTGCTTGTGAGCGACCCCCTGGGCTCCTTGCATATCCGCTCCTGCAAGGTGGTGATGCTTTCTGACTGGTACACCATGCTCTACAACCCGAGTCCTGATTACATTACCACTATTCATTGCACCCACGAAGCAGTCTACCCTCTGTGAGTATCTTTTCTGTGGCCTTGTCTGTGAGATTGCAATTTTTTGTAAAAAATCCCCACCTCTTAACAGGCAATCTTGATGTCCTGATCTATGCATTCTTACTTAGCAGCAAGCCCTATTGATGGGGATTACTCCCACCCTTATATAGTTGCAGTGTTTTTTTTACTACTCTGCCCATATTTGCTAGATCAAGCCATGGCTTAGAATGAACGCATCGGCTCCTGGGGAGGAAATTGCATTTGCTTTGCTCCTCCTTGGTCATTTCAGCTCCATACTGCAACTAAGCCAAGGTTCCGGTTAGCATGTCATCTGAACCTGGGATCATGCTCAGAGGAATCATGGAATTGTACAGCTGGAAGGGATCCCAATAATAATCTAGTTCAACCCCCAACTGTTCCCGAAACCCAAGATCGAACCAGGGACCTTTAGAGCTTCAGTCTAATGCCCTCCCAACTGTGGTTAAGTCCCCTCCATAACCACAACCTGTAGCCAAATTTTGTTCTTGGCTTAGCTGCTATGCTATGCTGAGCTAAAGGGACCAGGAAAAGAACAAAGCAAGTGTGATCTCCTCTCTGGGAGCAAACACATTTAAGCTGTCCTAGTAAGCCATACTTTGACATGATGAACATGCCTATGGCCAAGAGGAATGGTTAAGCCCCTCCCTCCCTGTTGCTCACATGTATCTCCAGGGCAGTGGAAGAAAATGAATGGGAATAAGACGCTACTGTGCATTTGTGCTGGAGGGAGAATAAGGATAGGAAATAAGATAAAGAGGAAATTATGCAGATTGCCATGACTTGAGGTACAAGATCGCCAGGGCCTGGATTTGTGGGCCAGGAGGGCGTAAGAAAGTAGCAGACAGTGTTGATGTGAAGAAACAGCATCGTAGCAAGGATTTTGCATAATGGAGGGGGGCAAGTATAGAACTTGTGGCATTTATGTGTCTTGTGTTTGTTGGCCATATCAAGAGTGAGGTGGGAAGTTTTTGGCACTACTGTGCTCTGATATAAACAATTCTCTCTTCCAGCTACACCATTGTATTTATATACTATGCCTTTTGTTTGGTGTTGATGATGATGCTTCGGCCCCTTTTGGTGAAGAAGATTGCTTGTGGGCTAGGGAAGTCTGATCGATTTAAGAGCATTTACGCAGCTCTCTACTTCTTCCCGATTCTAACTGTGCTTCAAGCGGTTGGAGGCGGCTTGCTCTGTAAGTCACTTTTATATTCCACCCCTCACTTTCCCCTCTGCACATTCAGTGGAACAAACCAGGTAGTTGCACCTAACATGCAAACCAAGAACTGTGGTTAATGGCTTCCAAACAAGCCACATTTGGAAGCTAACTTTCAGTTTAATCTGGCATGTTTGGAAGCTGTTAACCATAGCTCATGAATATCCTGGATTATTAAAGCAGGATTTGACTGTCTGAGTGTGGCAGCTGCCTAAGGACCATTTCACCCTGTGAGCTGAGCACTGTTCATACCACTCATTTCTTGTTACAAGGATACAGAATTTTATTATATTTCTATCCAACCTTTCCCCCCACTCTGGCACTGGGTAAAGTCAGGCTGATAGAACTCAGTGGGACTTACTTTTGAGTAGGCATGTTCAGGATTGCACCCCAAAACAACTATTTATAGCTTCTGCGTGACTGGTGTGGTAAAATTGTGTTGGTGTGTCAATGTAACGTACAACTGTTTTCTTCCAGACTATGCTTTCCCGTATATCATCATAGTGTTATCTCTCGTCACCCTGGTTGTGTATCTGTCAGCTTCCGAAGTAGATGTAAGTAAACACTGTTTCATTTTAAAATATATAGTTTTTAAAAAGTGACCTACAACTGAAGGGATAACATGGAAAACAGAGGAAATGGTCAGCAATAAGTGATTGAAATTCCTTGGGCGATTCCGCTCTCCCACCCCCACCCTGGGTTGGCAAAGAGGTCTATCCTGCTATTCTTTAATTGTTTTATCTTCAAAAGCCTTTTGGCCCACTTGTGTTTGAGACAGCTAAAGTCTTTGTTCACGCGTTCTACACCGGAGAGGGAGATAACCTCCCTGCTTGTTTAGATTTGTGAGGGGGCTCTGATCAGCATTCTGAACAGTCAGGAGAGGCTTAAGAACTAGCTGGTTACCATCTCATACAGTCCCGCAAGACCGAGGAGGAAAAGCAGCCATAGTTATTGCATAAGAATCCTTCCTCGTCAGTATTATTGCCTGGCTTTTCAAAGAAGCTGTTCCCTGCCTGATGTTGCCCGACTATTTTAATCAAGGATTTCTGGGTGGGGTTGCGCCTATTATTAAAACAGCAAATGCAAATAAAGAGTGAACGAGAAAACAATAATCTTAGACATGGTGCCAAAATGAAGAGAGGGTTGGTCTCAGGTGGGTCTCTTGAGGAATGAGCATTCCACCAGCAGGATGCTGCTATGGAAAAGGGCTTAAACAAAGGCATCTGCAATTGCGAAGTGGCTTTTAAAGGAGAGCAGCAACTGTTAGTGCTAAAGAGGATGGGTTGGTATTGGGGGATGTGTGTGCCTGCTTCCCCTCCTTCAGAGAGAATAATGAACAGTGGACCCTCTCCTGCCTTTCCAGTTAGGGGTTTGTTTCATAAAATTTGTACATTCCTTGATGGTTAAAAGAAAACTCTCAAAGCAGTTCACGGAAAAAGATAACATAATCAGTATGAAAAATTAATAATGATCTAAGACTTTTTAAAAGTTAAAATAGCAGTGGATTAAAACTTGTGCCAACTTTCTAAAGATATGGGAAAGCTTGTCTGGACAAATATATTATTAGGTAAAGGTAAAGGGACCCCTGACCATTAGGTCCAGTCATGACCGACTCTGGGGTTGCGGTGCTCATCTCGCTTTATTGGCTGAGGGAGCCGGCGTACAGCTTCTGGGTCAGGTGGCCAGCGTGACTAGCCGCTTCTGGTGAACCAGAGCAGCGCACGGAAACGCCGTTTACCTTCCCGCTGGAGCGGTACCTATTTATCTACTCGCACTTTGATGTGCTTTTGAACTGCTAGGTTGGCAGGAGCAGGGACCGAGCAACGGGAGCTCACCCTGTCGCGGGGCTTCGAACCGCCGACCTTCTGATCGGCAAGTCCTAGGCTCTGTGGTTTAACCCACAGCGCTACCCACGTCCCAAAATTTTTAGCAGGTGCCGAAAGGAGCACAGTGAAGGGGCCTGCCTGATGGCAATGGGCAGGGAGTTCCAAAGTGTAGGTGCTACCACACGAAAAGACCAAGTTATTACAAATGCGGAACAGGTATTATGTGGCATCTGCAATTGTGCCATTCCCTTCCTCAGAGCTCTCCCAAAAATATGATAGAGAAACTAAGAACGGCTTAGTTCAGATAACTCTCTCCACCAAGATACAAGATAAAAGGAGAGGCTTCAAAAGGCACCTTGATTTCATTCTGCCCCTTTCTGAAATCTCTGCGTTAGCCTCAATGTCTGTGTAAAAACTAACGGCAACATCTTGTCTCCTGTTTTACAAGACTTTCAAGGATCTCCTTGTCAGGAAGAAAAGGCTCATTGTTCTGTTCAGCCACTGGCTCCTGCACGCCTACGGGATCATCTCCATCTCCAAGCTGAACAACGTCTACCAAGACTTGCCCCTGCTGGCTTTGGTGCCGGCACCTGCTCTTTTTTACTTGCTTACTGCAAAGTACACGGATCCTTCGCGGATACTCTCCGATGGAGCAAACGGACGTTGAGCCAAGAATCCAGCGTTGTAGGCTGAGGTTCTCTGGGGCCCACACGTCCTTCCCCTCTTATAGGAAGCTGTCAGTTCTCTTATCAGCCAGCTTTCAGGTAAAGTTTATTTTCTCTTTAGCATCAAGGCTTAGCCCCCACCCCCCACTCCCATCAGCTCGATTCTATCCTCCAAAACAACATCTGGACGCACCTCTGCATGTAATGCCTTAGAAGTGTTCCATTAGCCACAGGAGCCAGAGTCACCCGTTGGTGAAGGATAAAGGCCCGTCCCCTGTAAATATGTTTATTATTTGCCCATGCTGTGCGAACGTGAAACATTTTGTACAGCGTATCTGGAAACAGTGTAACTTTTATTTCTGAGTGCAGTATTTTATCACGTCTTTGAAGAATGATATGTAGAAGAATAAAGCTCAGTGTTCCGACTTCAGTCCACAGCTCTTGCAGTCTCTTCATTTCTAGATAAGAGGTTTGGGAGAACAATGCAGTTGTTATTATTTTTATTAATATCTGTTTGTAACAACACTTTGAGGCAGGGTGGATAAAAATAAATGATTTTTTAAAAATCAGATTTTTTAAATTTCAATTGGATTTTTAAAATAAAATGCTTTTGGGGGAAAATCTTTCTAAAGATAATCTTCTATTTATGTTACACTATAGTCTAAAGGCAATTCATCAGGAAATAAGGATTTGTTTAAGTTTTTCATGTGTACTAAAACTCAGTCTGTTTTTTTATTAAAAAAATTTGTTTGACCACATCAGTGAACAAACATGGATACATATGCTATAATGTCATTGTTTTAGTTAAGTACATTGTTTAAATTGTTAAAGAAATTATTATTTTTCTCCTTCCAATAAAGTACAGCAAAGTTGTCCAAATATAAAGTTAACTTATTAAACCTCACAATAATTTCATAATGATTGGTCTACGTATTTCTAATAGTATTACCAAATCAGAAATTTTTGATATAACTGTAAAAACTACTCTGAAAATTCATTATTCCAAAAATGAAACCTTCATCTGGTTGTAAATGTTAAGATTATACCAGCAAGAATGAGTCTTTGTGTAAAAAAAAATAATTAAATCAAGATTTACGGACTAGTGATTTAATTCGTGATTTAAATCAATTTGATTTAAATCAAACCCACCCTGCTTTGATGATTATGAAAATCTCCCAATTCACGTCAGCCAATTTTGCAGAGGAAACATTTTTGTGGGAGAGAACGCTCTTTCAAGCACCTACCAGGTTTTGCACCTTGCTTTCCCAGAATAAATGTTCTACCTTTTGCCAGAGCAGACATTCTCTTATAGAGCCATTTACATCACCTATTACTATTTGTAATTAAAATTCTGTGTCAAGGTAATCCAAATTTTGCAGTAGGAAAACCTGAAATCTTCAATCCCTGTATTATGTGCTTCCCCCTACCTCTGACCATTCGCAAATAGGTACTGTCAGTCTTGGGCTTCCTGCTGCAAGAAGAAAGAAGGATATATGCGGTCGGAGGGCCTTTGTGATTACTGTTCAGATTCCTGCCCCTAGCAAAAAGAAAGGAAGAAAAAGAATGAATGAAAAATGAAAGCTCTTTTGGTGCGTTTCCTTTTCCTTTCTAAGCAAGTTTATTAGGGAGTGGGGACAGAGAGAACGGTGTCGGAGTGTTGTGGGTATCAAAGAGCTATCACTCTGCGCTAAGCAGAAATGCTGACTCAGCAGCATAAAGAGAGATGGTTGACTCCCCTACGCTGGCTTCTCCCCTGTATGTGTATGTGTGTGCTGATTCCTGGATGTAAGAAGACTGCTTGATGATGTTGCAAGACTGCAACCGGAAGAAAGCCCTAGTGGAAATACAGCTTGACTCCTGAATGTCTCGTGTAGGGTTTCTGTAAAGGTAAAGGGGTCCCTGACCATTAGGTCCAGTTGTGACTGACTCTGGAGTTGCAGCACTCATCTCGCTTTATTGGCCGAGGGAGCCGGCGTACAGCTTCCGGGTCATGTGGCCAGCATGACTAAGCCGCTTCCGGCGAACCAGAGCAGCGCACGGAAACGCCGTTTACCTTCCCACCGGAGCAGTACCTATTTATCTACTTGCACTTTGACGTGCTTTCGAACTGCTAGGTTGGCAGGAGCTGGGACCGAGCAACGGGAGCTCACCCCGTTGTGGGGATTCAAACCGCCGATCTTCTGATCAGCAAGTCCTAGGCTCTGTGGTTTAACCCACAGCACCACCCACGTCCCGATAGGGCTTCTGTACATCGCAACAAATGGCACCTGTCTTGAGCTACTGAAAATTGTAAGTGCTGCCAGAATATATTGTTCCAGATCTTCCCCAGCCGCCTTGTGCGTGGTATATTTCTGTTGCCAAGAATCTGCTTCGCGGAATGTAAGTTCTGCTGTTTCAGCCGCCCTTTGTGTAGAACTGAACCAATGCGCCACCACTGCAGAGTGAGCTCACCTCGTCACCCAGGTCCGACCTGCTTTCTAACAGAGACTCCATTGCCATATAGTTTAGCTGCAGCCCGTCGTAAACATAGTCAAGCTTGTCGTTCCTTTTCCTGTGTTTCCTTATATACTCATCCAGAATAATCATGATGTCTTTCTGGTACCTCAAGAAAAACTGCAGCGAAAGAAAGATGGCTCACCTTCAAGTTGGGCTGTTAAACTTTCTATTGCAAGAGGCTGGTGAGGGTTGCCCCAGCTTCTTTTCTTGAATACCCACATTCGAATGTGTAACTCTCGTTTCCATTGAAAATCTGTCCGTAACTTAGGTGTTACAGAGATGGCAGCAATATAATATAATATAGAATATAATTTATTATTTATACCCCGCCCATCTGGCTGAGTTTCCCCAGCCACTCTGGGCGGTTTCCAATCGAGTGTTAAAAACAATACAGCATTAAATATTAAAAACTTCCCTGAACAGGGCTGCCTTCAGATGTCTTTTAAAGATAAGATACCTGCTTATTTCCTTCACATCTGAAGGGAGGGCGTTCCACAGGGCAGGTGCCACTACCGAGAAGGCCCTCTGTCTGGTTCCCTTTAACCTCACTTCTCGCAATGAGGAAACCGCCAGAAGGTCTTTGGTGCTGGATCTCAGTGTCGGTTTACAGTCGTACCTTGGAAATCGAATGGAATCCATCCCGGAAGTCCGTTCGACTTCCAAAGCATGGCTTCTGATTGGCTGCAGGAAGCTCTTGCGGCCAATCGGAAGCCGCGGAAGCCCTGTCAGACGTTCGGCTTCCAAAAATAGTTCACAAACCGGAACAGTCACTTCCGGGTTTGCAACGGTCGGGAACTAAGCTGTTTGACTTCCAAGGTACGACTGTGTATAGTTTTGCTACAGTACGATCACATCTAATGTGGAACATTCCAAAGTTTCTGCGTATACACAAAAATCATGTATACGCAAAGCTTTGGAGCTGCTCCTAGGCTAGCAGGTGAAGGGGAGAGAATAAGAAGAAGAGTTTGGATTTGATACCCCACTTTATTACTACCCTAAGGAGTCTCAAAGAGGCTAACATTCTCCGTTCGCTTCCTCCCCAATAACAAACACTCTGTGAGGTGAGTGGGGCTGAGAGATTTCAGAGAAGTGTGACTAGCCCAAGGTCACCCAGCAGCTGCATGTGGAGGAGCGGAGACGCGAACCCGGTTCACCAGATTATGAGAGCCAGTGTGGTGTAGTGGTTAAGAGCGGTGGACTCGTAATCTGGGGAACCGGGTTCGTGTCTCCGCTCCTCCACATGCAGCTGCTGGGTGACCTTGGGCCAGTCACACTTCTCTGAAGTCTCTCAGCCCCACTCACCTCACAGAGTGTTTGTTGTGGGGGAGGAAGGGAAAGGAGAATGTTAGCCGCTTTGAGACTCCTGAAGGGGAGTGAAAGGCGGGATATCAAATCCAAACTCCTCCTCCTCCTCCTCCGGAGAAAACCCCAGGGCATCGTGTCCCAAAAGCTGTTCTTAACCCAATACTGCATCATACCTTTTGAAGCTTGGTGTCCCTTATCCACTTCTTGACATAAAGTCCTAAAAGAAATTAAGACATTTTAGAGCGTTTAGGGAAATGTCTGCCAAAAAGCCAAACTTTAAAAATGCTCCATTTAAAAGTGATTTTTATACTATCTATAGAAAGAGAAAATCCAGACAGCAACTGAGACCAAATAAAATACTTTTATCAAAAGCGTTGGATGCCTGGTGCTTCTAGAGTGCCAGTTAGCGTAATAAAATATATTTCTGCTATAAACAAAAGCATTAAGAACACAATCTAACCACTGAAAACCCACAGCTAGGAGGAGGGTTTGGTCCCAGTGGTTGGTGGCAGGGGCAGGTTTAAATCCCACTCCAGTGCAAGTGACCCCTTATTCCTGCAGGGGAAAGGGAAGTTACACTGGCGATGTTTCTGTGGAGAAAGCAACCTGCCCTACACCTCTGAACTTGGGTAGCTTACTAATTGGGTAGCTTACACATTGTGGTTCTGGGAACTCTCCTCTCTCAATAATGGGAACACTGCAAATGCAAGAACGAAACAAAAAACTGCCCTGTGTATTGTACATGGGGCGTCAATCCAGGGAGCAGATTAAGACACATTTTTATCATTCGTGCATACCTTACTGTATGTCTGTGTGTGCATGACTACACACTGATTTCCCCCTTGATTGGCACCTCTGTTTCCACCTGGCCTTTTATGCTGATCTACGGCAGCCCCAAGGAATCCCCCCCTTCAGCCAAGCTTCCTCAACCTGAGCCCTCCAGATGTTTTTGGCCTACAACTCCCATGATCCCTAGCTAGCAGGACCAGTGATCAGGGATGATGGGAAACGTAGTATCAAAACATCTGGAGGGCAGAGGTTGAGGAAGCCTGGTCTTCAGCGACAATGCAGCTTAGAATCATAGAAATGTAGAGTTGGAAAGGACCTTGAGGGTCATCTAGATTTCTGCATTGCGGGGGGGGGGGGGTTGGACTAGATGATCCTTGGGGTCCCTTCCGACTCTACAATTCTGTGAACCTCTTGCGATGCAGGAATAGAAAGCTGCCCTGCAGTCAGAACACTAGTCCGTCTGGCCCAGTGTTCTCTACGCTGACAATGGTTTTCCAGGCTTTCAAGAAGGGGCAGCCTTCCCCAGTCCTCTCTGCATACGCCATGGACCGGAGACCTTCTGAATCAAAAGCAGCTGCTCTGCTACCCCTGGGCTATAGCCCTTCCCCAGAATCTCATGCTGCAGCACTGCATACGTGGGTCTGTGGCTACTCAGTGCAGTGTGTACATTCTGGCTGAGCACCAGCTTGGAGCCACAATTCAGAGAAGACAGTTTTGATTGCTCAGCATGGCGGACCAGCCATGAGGAAAGGCAGCCATAAAGCCACAGACCTAAAAAACTTCTTGGGAAAGCCAGCCATGGCCCATATAGCTGGAGATGTGTGATGGATAGTTTACTGA